TATTCTTATGCGACTTGTGTGAAAGTGTGGGAGTTTACTAGTAAGCAAATGGTTCCTACCGAGAAAGTTTATTTGTTACTCAACTGGGAATAAATCCAATTCGATTTTTAATAACTTTCATGGGAAAAATCCATGACATGCGCAGTCGATGAATTTAATTGGACCCTTTTCCTTCTTGAGTTATTACTTGGGCGTTTTGTTAGAATCTTAGATGCTTTACCTAGTTAAATCTTGGGAAGTATGAGTCACAGTCACCGTTCTGGTTACGTTGGTCTGTAATGCTATCCGTATTATATCAGCCGTCCGTCTTGAGTATCAATATCATAGGTTCACAGTTGGGAATGAGGGATTGAAAAGAATGAGAGTGAGAGTGAGAGTGAGAGTGAGAGTGAGAGTAAGGAGTGAAAAAGATGTGGTGGTGGTGGTGGTGGCTGTTGTTGTATCCCTTGTATACCTTACCTTTGATAAAGTGAAGTCGGAGGAGAGATAGTTTAATTGATCTTTTGTTTCCTTCTTTGCCTCTTTCTTTCTTTCTTTCTTTCTTTCCTTCTTTCCTTCTTTCCTTCTTTCCTTCTTTCCCCTCACTTTATTTCACTTTACACAAACATCATTACTTTCAATATCCACTCAAGATAAGGTCTCCCAGCCCTAATTTTCTCTCTCTCTCTCTCTCTCTCTCTTCTCCCTTCACTCTGCTCGCACTAGATATGTTCCATGTTCTTATTTTCTCTTCATATTGACCCATTCTTGGTGGCCTATTAATCCTTGTTCTACACCCTCACACCAAGGTTACGCCCTGTGAGAAAGCCTTACTCCATTTTAAGATGACATCTCATGCCGCCATTACCTTGTCGAACTCGCGTACAATGGAGTTGGGACAGACTTTTGATAGGGTAGAGAACGAAACATTTCTTCAACCTTGGACTTTAAACTTTGCTCAAATATAAGTTGACTTTTACTCTGTAACTTTTATTAATCGATTTGAGGAATTAATATTGACAGGTTTGTAATGTAATCGCTTCGAGTGTATGATTAATTCTCTCTGTCTAGAACTTGTACATCGATGGGAACCATCTGATATTCGATTCGTTCCCAAGAATGATTTCTAGAGTCGATGGGAAGATCTAGCGAAGATCAGATCTCTCAAGGAGGGTGAAGAATAAGGTCACTGGAACCAACCAATATCAACAATATCAAGTCAGATATACCTACAGAGTCGTAGTCAGATGCCATTTTCCTACATACCGCTACATACACACATATATATATACACACATACACACATACATACATACATATATAAAATGATAAACTACTATATGAAGACTAATTACCCTAATTTCTTCTTTCCATCTCCCATGCCCTTTCCAAAATCATCTTCCCGATACTTCCACCATTCTCCCTATTTCCTTACTCCGACCCTTTAAATCCGTCTTGCATTTATTTTCCTCCTCGTAAATTTTGATGTCAAACTACTTCGTACATTTAGTATCCTCAACCCTCCCTCCTCACAACACAACCACTCCTAAAACAGCACGCCCACCGCGTCGATCATCCACACGCAGTAGACCTTTCATTAACCCAAACCATCTCGCTGACCGACCGAAGAACGCCGCAACTAAATAAATGGAGAATTTCTCTCTTTCTACAAGTACCTAGACTTTAGTCTTCACTAGACGGACCGGAGGCCTTGTGCAAAATTTAAAAAAATCCTCAATCTGATCTGACCTTACCCCCCCCCCCCCCCACTTTCCATTTCCATCGTGATTTGTACGGAGGATGTATGTCAGAGGAGTGTGGTGGGTGGTGGGTACGCCCTTTACTTTACTCTGCATCTATTTCTGCGAATTTGGATGGCGGATGGTGTTGTTTCATTCGTATACATACGTATCCAGTGACCTACCGGTATCCCCATATCTCACATAAAATCTTACCCGTTTACCTACATACCTCCGCAGGTAGATATACACAAAGTACTGTACTTCGTAGGCAGAAACTAAGGTATGCGTACATCTCTCTTCTCATTCGTCGTCACTATCACACTTACTCCTCTTCTGATCCAATAACATGCATACCAAGAAATGGTTTCGAGGTAATTATACTTCGTATGTAACCCCTTGTGAACTAAGCCCCCCTCTTGGAAGTTTGAACACATTATCTTGTAAGACTACGAAGTTGTATAATACAGAGTGTGTATCATGTGTACGTATGATAGGTTGTATGTGTATAGTTTTGATTCTGTACGCTCATAGTAGGTAGGTCGTCCATTACTAGTATTCATCATCATCATCATCCATTCATTTACCCCCGCGCCGTCCATTCCCTCGCTCTCCCCCCTACCAAGGAAAAACCATGTAGGTTACGCTGGATGACTCACAATCACAATCACTTCTGCATAGGTACCTACCACCCAAACCATCAAACTTTGAAACGTCAACCCCCCTCCTCTCTCTCGATTTCTAAGCAAAAAGTTTAATGTATGGAGCACAGAGAAGGGTATGTAAGAAATAAGAAATTAATTCTCATTCATTCGATTGGTGAATTGGAGAATTCGAAAAGCTGTCGCCTGGATGTGTCTGCATTTGCTTACGAAACTATGCGTCTATGCATTGACGTCGTTGTCTACTATATTGTGTGGTATTGGATTGGATTGGATTGCTTATCTGCACATGTATGTACGAATATATGTACAGTATAGTATGTATTCGTACTTTCTCGGAAAGCAAATGAGCGATCTTGAGGCTCAATTGGTTTTCGCTCTTCGTTTTCCGTTTCGTATTGTTGCCGCTTGTGGTTTTGGTGGTCGTTTCTTTATTGCGAAGGTGAGATTGCGAAGATGTGGCACGTGAGAGTCACGTGTGCATTCTGGGTATATGGATAGATAGGTGGGTGTGTACGATTACAATGAAGATCACTGCGAATAGATTTTTCTCTTCTGTCGGCTTTCTTTTTTGAGAAGCTTTGAGAGATCTGGATTTATACTTTATGTTTATTACAGTTTGATGTTTTCAAGGGTTCGATACCTTATTGTTGGATAGTTGGGTAGGGCTGAATGCGGGGTTCTTCGTTTGGAGTCAGGATTTGGGATATGAGTCATTGGTATGGGGTCGTGGGGGATAGGTATATATTGAGGATGGGAAGGGAACAGGAATGGGATGATGGAAAGTTTATTACTTACTATAATAGGTTTGAACTTTATTAGAAGGTTAGCTGAGGAAGTGTATTTTGACGTTCAGTGATCACTAGTGTGGTGGATGATTGGATGGTATATATATGTATATATATATATCCGATCCTATCCAATTCTTCGTTGGAATCTTTTTCAAGCGTCTAAGAATGATGTGGTAGTACCACAATGTTCAGGTTTGAGGATCTTTGTGGGAAAACTTTATAAAAAAGATATTCGCTGGATGAGTAGTGCTGTTGCTGCACTTGGAATACCTTCTTCCTCGAGTGGTGATTTGGTGTTTGGTTGGATTTTTCCCGAATTCATGAGATTGCATATTTTCTGTATGGGCGCTGATTCGTGATGTACAGTACTGTTACTATCTGTTCATAATTTCCACATGTTTGGGAGAGAAATGATGAGTAAAGACGCAGGGGAGTTCCCGCTTGATAGATTCAATACAGGTGAAAGCTACTCGAACTCAAGTAGCGTGCATGGTGTCAAAGTTTAATATCAACATGAAGATCAGTCCGTTTACATTGGTATTGGTATTGTTGCATTACCGGAATATATACCATCGACCAGCTTTAGATTTTCCAAATGACGAACTGCTCGCAATCTTGAACTCTTGCTTTTTCGTCGATGGATAACTTGATGGCTTCATCTAGACAGAAAATCAGGTATGTCCTAACCACTCAAGCAGACTCATACATTCAAGACACTAGTATCCAAATATCATATCATCAAACTGACATTGAAAGGAATGTATGACCATTGTGTTTAAAGCATGTTAGGCCAGAAAATGAGGATATTCAGAGGTTAAAGATTGATCAGGCTAGCCACTCGCCCAGGTTTTAGCATCACATGAACCATACTTTCTTAGCAATAAATAATCGGTGTGGGTAATTCCAGAGCTATTGAATAACTTGATATAAGCTTGAATTTGGAACGCTAATTCTTCGATTTGATAAGTTATTGATTATTAAAAAGACTACTCAGGCACGTGTGTATTTTGATGTCCCCATTTTCCCCGTCCTTGCTGGACGGAGGGTGGATTCATTGAAGTTCGTGCACTTATTCAAATTGGCAACCTTACCTCAACTCTCAAATACTACATTACGATTTTTTCCAAACTTTCAATTGCATTCACAATGTTATACTTTCTTCAACCCTCTATATAACATCTTTATATCCACCAGACAAGATGGACACTCGAGACGTTTCTCAGCATGCCCAGCATGTTGTCTGGCCGTCGCAGTAACGGTTGCTTGTGAGCAGCTCCTACTGCCAAAGAATGGTCCAGCGATACAATTCCTCACCTTGTCCTTGTATATATATGCCGGAAAATGTGCAGCTGAAGATTCTGGGCACCGCACATCCTAGGTAAATCGTGTTCGACAAAGACCGGCGAATCTTATTTGCAGTGATGTCTGCCAAATGTTCATTGATTCTTACGGCTTTGGTCCACCGCCTTCATTCTGCCACCAACAATGACACACCCCCACCCCTCTTGTTGTCAGCCCTTTCACAGGTACCTCAGCGTGGCGGAGGTACGAATGGATGTTGATTGACACAGCCTCAAAGCCATGCCGGTTTGACAGACTTGCTGTGATCAATAAGTTCTCAATCATGCTTGATAAGATTTGCTAAACGGTGCATCACATTCTCATATCGAAAACCTCACCCACCAGCTTCATCCTCGGAATCCAGGGCGATCAGGACTTGAAATCTACCAATCTCGATAGACCATATCACCATTTACAATATCAGGAGGAAATTCAAAGTTTCATATCTTGAGCTTTCCATGAACATTGAATTGCACAATAGTTCCCAAATGGATCCATACCAGTACCAACCGATTGATCTTGGTCGAACTTCTATTCGACTTCTTCAACTCCACAAAGGGGACTGGTCCGATAAAATTCAAGGCCATTTTATCAGTGCATGGTTCGACGATCCTGATAGTTTCATGCCATATTTTGCATTGTCCTATACCTGGGGTGATGTTGACAAAGTGGAAGAGGTTATAATTGACAGCGCCAGAATCAGAGTGACTCTCAACTTACATATGGCGCTTCAGCATCTAAGATCTGAGGAAGAGGATCAAATTTTTTGGATTGATGCTTTGTGTATCAATCAGGAGAATGTCCACGAGAAACTTCATCAAATCAGACAGATGGGCGATATATACAAGAAGGCTGAAAAGGTCGTGGTTTGGTTAGGTCGAGGGACTGAAGGAACTGACCTGGTGATGGATGCCATGAAGCGGCTGCGAAAGGCAAGTTTAGGTTGGCATTCAGCAGAGTGGAAAGACAAGGCCAGTGGCTGGGTCGATGAAAACAATGAACACTTGATGAATTTGCGCGATCAAATGAGATTGATATTGGAACGACCATGGTTTCGAAGAATCTGGATCTTACAAGAAGTTGCCAATGCTCGGCGAGCAACGACAGTGCATTGTGGTAATAGATCTATCAGCGCTACGACCTTCTCCCAGTTTCCGGCTCTGATTGCTTTAAACCCCGCTGTACATTGTCAATCAGTTCTGGATATAATGCCTGGAATCTCGCGGAAAGAGTCTTGGTGGGCACATGGTCAAAAGCTTCACACATTACTAGTAAAGTTCCGCGAAAGCGAGGCGACTGACGATCGAGATAAGATATATGCATTACTGGGTATATCTTCAGACGCACATAGGAGTAAAATCTTAGACCCAAAGTGCGACAAGTCATCACAACAGGTCATTCGTGAAGCTGTCTCGTTCATATTGTCTGAGAGGTATCCTCAATTGATAGATGATGCGTCACTCTATCAGTTTCTTGACTGGAATTTGACGAAATTTTTAGATGCTGTGGAAGATTTAGAAGGTGCTATTTTGATGGATGCGTTTCAAGGAGCAGAAGGAAGATTCCTCAAGTTATTGATTGAAACAGATGTGTGTCAAATTAGCTCCAGAGGCTTTCATGATCGAACTCCGGTGCATTGGACCGTTCACAGAGAGCAGCTCATCATTTTAAAGATGTTGCTTGACGCATCTCTGTGTAGTTTTGAGAAAAGAGATTCAGATAGGCAAACACCATTGTCACTAGCTATTCAAACAGGAAACGCTAAAATTGTTGAGTTAGTCCTTAATTCGGGCGTAGACATTGAAGCAACATGTTTGAATGGTTTAACACCACTGTTACTAGCTATTGAAAAGGACAAAATCAATATTGTTGACTTGCTCCTTCGGAGAGGTGCTAAATACAAAGCACAGAACATGAGTAGCTCCGATCTATTATCACAAGAGAGCGATAGACCTGGCCAGTCCATATCTCCAATTTCAGCTCCCAAAAATCCACTTCCATTACCATTTGCAATTGAAAAAGGGAATTACGGTATCTCCAAACTGTTATTTGACCATGGTGCCCCTCTCAGAGATGAGGGCCCATCGTCAGACATTGAATGTGGAATCGACAAGATGGTTGAGTTCTTGATTGATCACGGTATTGGCACAGACAATTCAGAGCTCGGAATACGTCTACAGTTGGCCGCTAAGCTTGGAAACGTCAAACTTACCAGGGAATTCATTAAGAGAGGGTTTGCGCTTGAAAGTAAAAATGGAATGGACCAAACACCGCTGATTTTAGCTGTCGTGCATGGTCACTATGAAACTATTAAGCTATTACTCGAAAGCGGTGCTGAGATTCACAGTGAAGATTCACTCCATCAAACACCATTAATGATAGCAGTCCAAAATAGGAACAAGAAAATTGTAGAGCTTCTGCGTCAAAAAGGTGCTGATTTCGAAAGAACATTGAAGGACAATGTAACACCATTAGTAATGGCTACTGACTGGGAACGCTACGGCATTGTTGAATTATTAATTCAAAGGGGCGCGGATCTTGAAGTGAAAGATGATTTTGGTAGAACAACATTGTCATTCGCTGCTTCGTACGGAATTTTAGATATTGCTCAGCTTTTGCTTGAAAATGGTGCAGAGCTCGAAACAAGAGATCAGGAGGGAAAAACACCACTGCAGAATGCAATCATCTGGGGCTATGGCCCAGGAACCGAAATGCATCAAAAAGGGGTCGTTACGCTCTTGCTTGAAAATGGTGCTGAGCTCGAAACAAGAGATGAGGAGGGAAGAACACCGTTGCAGAATTTGAAGGCATCAGATTGGGAAAATGAGGCCTCTCAACGAGAGCTTGTGGCGCTTTTGCTTGAGTGGGGTGCAATTGATATGGATGAGGGATAGAAAAGGAACAACACTTTTGTTAGCTGTTGTTGAAATGAAGGAAATTCGGCTGTCAATTTCGTGGAGATGCTTGATGATCTATTCGGATTCTTAATATTTGAAGTTCCGATTGATTTGAGGGTGGGGAGGGGGTGGGAACTATGGAATAGTTCAAACATTCTTTCATTGTGGTTGTAACACGGGTAATTTTGATGGCAATTCCATAAATTGTAAGCCATGTCTGTTATCAAATCTCAAAGGGCAGATGGATATATCCAACTGACTTCATTATCTTACCCACGATTTCCGCATACACTATCGTCTCCTGTCCTCGTGTCCCAAGCGCTCCCGCTTCTCATGCAACATGGGTACTCCGTATGTGCACTCTTCACAAATCAGAGCCAATAAATCGGAGTATTTTCATTTAGAAGGAAATTTTCTGGCCAAGGCTTTAAGTAATGTTGGGATAAACGGGTGATTGGTTAGGTTGGAGTGATGTGGAATGATAGGGAAAGCTTGATTGATTTTGACTCTATAGAACGGGGCTGCACATAAACCGAGTTCTTTCTCAATGTATACGAAAATAATGATACAATCCCATGCATCTAACTCGAACTATTGGAAGCGCAGCCCGGAAAGAGAGGTAGAAATGGAAGAGCGAGTAAAAGTGGATGGGGAAGATGTGATGATATTTACCTAAATTGTGGAATGGTGATTTATGGTAGATTTGGAGATGGTTATTTAGCCGCACCATTTCTTCACGAAGCTCTTGCCCTTCATAACCCTCGCAACTCTAATATCAGCTCTGCTATCATTTCGAGAATTCTCTCCTAATTTAAGGTTTCTAGACAGTTGACAATTGAAAGTATCGAATTGTTCAAAGATGGAATTCCCCTTTCTCCCACTCAAGGATGGCAACTCCATTCCGTTGGTGAGCAATTCTATACCCTCCTCTGCATATAATAGAATACTGACAATATCAAAGATGGGCTTTGGTATAGGTACTGCGCGGTACAAAGAGGACCCTGAAAACCCTTTGACCCGAGATCTTTTCGACATCTTGAAGGCAACTATTGAGCGGCATTTTCGTCATATCGACGTTTCTAATGCTTACGGCACGGAGAAAGAGGTTGGTGTTGCTATCAAAAAATGCGGCATACCGCGTGAGGAAATTTTCATAACCACGAAAGTCTTCGAGGGTCTCTACGACCTACCTATATCGATTCAAAGTAGTTTAACTAAGCTTTAGCTGGACTATGTGGACTTGTGAGTCAAACGTTCCACTGTGTATATAATCACTAACTCTGTAGATACTTGCTCCATTCACCCTATCTCGCAAAAAAGCCTTCCAGTCTTCAACAAATCTCGCTCTCGGTGGAGCAGGTAAAAGCCTCTGGAAGGGGCAAATATTTTAGAGTATCAAATCACCAGCGTCCGCACATCGAAGAGATACTAAAAGTCGCCACCATCATGCCTGTCCTCAATCAATTAGAATTCCATTCTTACCTACAGTGCGCCCACGAGTACCTCCCCTGGAGACGGGCGTATGGGGTCGAGGTGACGGGTTTCAACGGGTTGACACCAATCACCAAGGCACGGCCCGGGCCTCTCGACGACATAATTGCAGAGATTGCAGCCCGACATCAGGTTCCTGGGAACGCTGTACTGATTAGCTGGCAGATTGCTCAGAACGTTGTGGTGACGACAACGACGACAAAGTTTGGTCGACTGGAGGATTGTGCTGTAGCTGTGCAACCGAAGTTATCGAGGGAGGAACAGGAGAAAATCACACAGGTTGGATTGACGCATCATTTCAGAGCTTGAGCTTCTGACCGTTTCGATCCCAATGATAGATCCTAGCTTTCTAATACATATCTGGTGTTATTTGTAAGTTGGTCTCAGCTACGGAGTCCGCAAGGAAATGTTTTGGTATCTTGGATTTACCATCAAAACTTTCTTTTGCATTTGAATCGAAGACTTTTGCTTGTCTTATTGAAATTCAATTCAAATGTCTTAGAAGGCCATCAATGCAAAGTTTCATTTTGCATCTGGAAAGTTGAGATGATTCTTATCAATAGATACTCATAACTCCTACTACCAGTCGATGGCAGAGGTATTCAACAACGCTCGATGGAGAGTAGATGAGCAGCATATTAAAAATTGCCCAATGACGCTGCTCATACATACTAATGCGTTTGAAACATCCATGGACTTTCATGGGTGAAATCTAGATCGAACGAAGCGAGAATTTTCATTTCTCCACAAAGAAAGGAACCCATTTAAATCTGCACTTGCAGATAAGTTTTCATCTTCCATCCCATAATTATAACCAATACTGATATCAATCCATTTACCGTCACTCTCCCTCAAAGCCATCCTCTATCTCATTCCATTTCCGAATTTTTCGGCCGAAACCCCTCGGCCGCGACTCAAACCAGAATCCCAGTACCCACTCTCATCCTCATTCCCCAACGACTAAAAGAGCATCTCCGCAGAACTTTCCATGGAAATGCAACTACATCTCTATTCCAACCAATCCATATCTCCCATTTCTCTTCAAGAATTCTTTTGTTGCACATCTGCACCGGCTCCGAAGGTATGGGACTCTCGGACTTCCGAGTTTCTCCTTTAGCCTTCACCTATGGATTCATTTTTCATATGTAAAGAATTAATGAATGTTGCATGATATCATATCTTTGCATATCGAAATCCACCGCGGAGAGAAACTCAAGTCCATGTTTTGATCTAGAATCGAGATGACTGAGAACCCGATAACGTAAGAAATATGTCCATCCGTAAGCTCACTTCTCCTCGGGTGAGTAAGATTCCAAAATGTATATTCGACAAACAGGAGTCCTCAATTTAAATGAAGTGGAGAATGATTGAGAAAGGCAGGAGATGTGTTGGAATGGATAGTCGGTGATGGAGAATGAAATTTTGTTGCATGTCTATTCGGATCCGGATGGAATTTTCGGATATAGGGGTCGGAGATCATGGGGCTCGGTATATTGTTATTTGTGTAGAGAGGGGGATATGGAGAGCTTGAATGAATTGGAATGGGTCTAGATTGATTGAGAAGGCAGGTATATGATCGGAGATGAGGGGATGGTATGTGAAAAAGGAAGGTAGACCGTTTTTGGCGATGACGTCGTATTACAGGATGTCACTCGATGGGATCATCGAACCTGATATATAAGTCAGATACAGATACCACCTATTTGAATTGAAGGTCATTGTCTACCGTTCAAGTTGTGGTTTTTGGCTGAGATTGTTATTTATTCCAATCTTTATATTTCTCTCGGACAATGATGGTGTAACATGGTGTTGTGTCTTTTCAACAGCTATTACTAAAACCAATTGATTCTCCCTATCTTTTGCCTCAAACTCAGTACCCTGCCCAAGTCGACGCACTTCGATACCACAAGACTCAAGAATCATAAATGATAGAACAACGCACCCCTCAAATCCACCACTTGACATTAAAAATTATATATTCCGTCCCTCTACATCAAGAAACTCTATCCATTACCCCCCCTCTCTCGAGTTCGAGGTCCTCCACCCCAAACCCATATCCACGTATCCATTAATATTTCCAATTCAAATACTTTCTCTATTCCTCCTTTTACTCCTCTTGGACTCCAAATACCTTCTACAGCCATTAATTATCGACGCGAACATCCACACCAAAACCACACCACCGATTCCGACAAGCAGAAAGATAACCGGAATCGCAAATCCATCGAGCGGTTGAGCAAAAAAAGCTCTGCTCGATTCCGTAGTTTGGGGAGTTGAATCCCGTTCACAGGAAACAGATACATCGGAACAGTTTTTTACTATCGTGGTGGTAATGATAGCAGTAATGGTGGGAGTGATGGTCGGGACAACGGGGGCGGTAACGAAGCTGATGACGGTTCTGGTAATGATAGGAGCGTAGCTAGTAGTCATATTTGGAGGAAGTTTTTCGAGGCCTCCGAATGCGTAGGTGATTTCTGCCATTTCTTATTTTATTTTTGTGATTGGAAAGGTGGTTGCTTGCTTGTGGATGAAGAGGAAGTGTTTGGATGGGATGAGGAGGAGGATAACCTTAGTTATTTTATAGGATTAATTATTTGTGCGTGAATGACACTGATGATCTTGGTACTAACTATGCGGACTAATAGAGATTGGGAACTAGGAGGTGTAGTTACCTACCTCTAGGAGGAAGAAATAACCGGTACTAAACTCGCTAGATGGAAAGTCTTAGAGGATACTTTTTCGAGGTGAATAGTGATCTTCGTTGGATGTAGGAATATCTTGTTGAACTGAGATGTAAGATGGGTATGGACTGAAGGGTTTTTGTATTGAAATTGATTTTTGTGAGATATTATGAGAGATTGATATGATATGTGAAGGAAGTTGGGAAGAGATCGGCGGGAGAAAATATCGAGGTTACGGGGACCGATATCTCGACGTCGTTGAAGATTGAAGTGGTTCTCCGGAACTATGGATAGAAAGATGAACAGGGTATGTTGCTCGCAGAATTATATAAATGTGAATCCAAAACAGATTCGATTACTGCCTACTTATATAGAGCAAAAGTCTAGACTCGCTTTCGCTTGAATACGTTGTGTAACAATCACATAATTATAATTTATCATATACATTGTGCCTGGGGATGGGAGTGCAGACACAAAGGGCATACCCATTATGATTCCTTCCCCTCCCTCTCGAGTCTTTATAATCTCTCAATGTATGTCATACAATCTCTTCTATACTCTCATCACTTATCATGTAACCCACTATATAAATATATGATACAGTCTAGTATAGAAATAAAACATCCCCTTTACACTATACCCAAGCTTTCCGTGAGCAGGGAATCCAATAGTCTCGACTACAGTCCAACAATGCAAAGGTTTAAATATCTAAAGGTGGGTAGGAGTTTGGGACTTGTTCGGTGTTCCAATCAAATCCAACATTTTGAATGAATTGAATATTCTAATTGCTTTGAGGATTTCATAAGCTCTTAATGTTGAACTGAAGTTCGAATTATTGAATAATCAGTTCGTGAGAACCTCGATATGATGATTTTGTTCGTTGTATGCATTCTCTCATCTCATGAACAGAAAGCCCCTTGATTGTTAATGGTTAATATTGAAACCTATCTGTCTTTCCTTCAACAAGTGATATACTAGGTCGTTTGAATCATATCCTAATTTAACTTATGCTTCTCTACCTCATTTTCGCTTATATAGACTTCTACTCAGGTCTCTCTCCCCTTCTTTTCTGCTCTTTTTTTCGCTTATGGTTTATAATGGAAGGCTTCACTATTTTATTTATTGCTAGCTACTTTAATCATCAAGAGATAGATTAGATTTTTCTTGATTCATAGATAGTGGTTATAATAATACATGTCTTCATATCCTCATTTTATACAAACCCTCATACCTAAGAGTGAAAGTGTAGATACAAAGAAGAAACTCCTCATGGTACGTTTTAAGAATCTTATAATTGTCTCAATTTATATGATACAATTATATTCTCACTGTCCCTTATATTACTGGACAGATTTGCTACATCGTTGTATGATTTGATGATTTAATGATTTAATCTAGTATAGAAAACACCCCCTTCACATCATTATATACGAGGGTGGAAATACAAAATTAAAGGTTAAATCCTCTTTGACCCCCTCTTCCTCTTCTTTCCCTCCTTCAAAGCTTATGATTATTCAAATTGATATCATACAACCATTTTCATATTCTCAAATTTTCACATAGTAGTAGTAGTAGTAAATTCTTAATCGATTCAGTCTATCTATAGCTAAGCTACACTGACATACAATACGCCTAAGTGTATCTAATTGTATAAAATAGATAGGGAGAAATAATAAAACCTATCCCTCTTTGGAGTCTGTCCAAGTTTGCTATGATAAGGTCCCGTTGTGTCGATCACATATATAGCTCGTGATACCTGTACTTTCGAAGACAATTTTCACATATTACCATAAAATCCACCACAAACCCCCATACAATTCAGCCCACCAAGTAGAAGTGATTGTACGCCCTACCCAAACCTTACTACAAAAATCTCGATACAATTATTTTATCACTAGATTCTAAATGACAACAAGTTATAAACCTTCGGAACACCATACAAGAAGGTATCCGTATCTCTGTTATTGACCAGCTCCCTATCTGCATAACTTGATAACTATGGCGTGCCTTCGCCGCAACTTCACTGTATCAGTTGGTCATTTGGCTGTTGGTTGATTATCATAACATCGAAGAGTCATCCCTTCTTTCTTTCAAGTCCGCTCTATTCCTTATTTATCTCACCTACTTCATACCGAGATAATAGTACACAACTGTATCAACAATTACATGACTTCTTCTTCATTTACAACAAGCCGATCATCAATCATCATTCCAACATACAGATACAAATTTCAACCCCAACAACCCAACCATACCCCCCCAGCCCGTCAGAAACCCCCACAATCCCAGCTAACCGACCATTATCCCCAAGCAAATGATGGCCAAGACCGCAGCCCTCTCTAAAGAACTCACTGGGAATTCCTCAATCGATGCTGCCAAGTATACGATAACCCATCTCTTGCCTCCATTTCCCGCAGATGCTATTAGTAAGTACATCCATTCCCTTAATACCCTGACTTCAAATCCCATATCACAAACTCATTAACCCTCCAACCCAGTCCAGTCCAGTCCAGTCCACGACAACGGCTACAGCACCGGCAAAGCCACACGCGCAATCATGGAATCGCATTCCCATCCCGAAGAAAGCATCCAAATCCAAGCCACCGATCGCAATCAATGCATGATCGATAGCTATCTCGAACTATCCACCGCCGGAAACTGAGCTGTCAAAAGAACTCTTATGCCCGCCTCATCACTCACCTTCCTCGATAACCACTTCACCCATTCATTTAGCTATTTTTTTATTTCCCACCTTGAAGAAGAAGAAAATCACGATCTAGCAGCAAAGCACATCTATCTATCGGACTCTAAAACCGGGAGGTACGACGATAGTATCTGCAGTGGCTGCAATGGCGCAGGGAGAACCGATCAAAAGAGCACACCTGAAAATACGAGGACCTGATATTCCGTTCCCTATGGCTATGCCAACGCATTGGTGTGGAAAAGATGCATTGAGGAATTATTATCCTGCGGGGGGATTCAAGGAGGAGGATATTCGTAATACGACTTGTGATGTTTTTATTTCAGTGAGGGATTTGAGACATCTGATGTCTGCTACGTGGAGCTTTTTGGGGGCGAGAGATGATGGGTGGGATCCGGAGGATGAGGAGGAGAAGTTAGATAGAGCGGTTTATGTTTTGGTGGAGATGTAGAGGCGGGGCCCTTTGGGAAATATAGCGTTGAGGATGCTTGCGAATGTGGGTCTTGCTACAACGTAGCACCAGTCCCTTTGTTCACTGTCTGGTATACATAGGTAACAAGATTTTACATCCATTTTTGAAGCATCTTGCTTTTAAGTTCTTTATCAATTTCAATTTCAATTTTGAGCATCTATCAACACCTCACATAATAAAATAAAAACTAATCAAACATTACTTGATTTTAAATTAAATAATAAAATATAAAAACAAAATATTCAAAATTGATAAAAATAAATAGAATCTATCTAAATCTCAAATTAAGGGAGTCGGGACTCTTCACTCTACATCTATCAACAGAGCGATAATCATAAAAGAAGAATCTCCCAAATAAATGATACAACAAGAAATTAATTCCCGACCAAGTGGTCTCCACCATGTAAACAATTAGTACAAATATAAATCAGAAGATGTGCAATCAATGCAACAAGTAACCATCAACCAAACCCAAACCCCAAACCCAACGTCTCAAAGAACACTAGCACGGGTATCGTCATGACTTCGTAAAAGACCATGATGAAATGTGATGGTTGTTAAAGTCGGCCCAGCCCACCCATCACATACCCGCAGCAGTCTTGGCAAAAGCAGCAGCTGTACCGGCATCCATTCCATAAGTTAAATGGGGTGCTAGAATCAGATCTCCGTGGGCGCAAATGTTATCACCGGTATGGCAAATAACCTTTGTATTTGCAGCTGATGCGCCTGCGACTGGATCTCCGTTGTCTGGTATACATGTTAATGTGTGTTATGAATGGTTTGATAAAAGCGCTACTTACTTGGGTCTCCGAAAATGATAGCAGAGCTAACTTTGGCCATGGTGGCTGCGGGAAGCATTTTTGCAGCGTTGTGTACGAGTTGACCACCTTGAGAGTAACCTGCCATGACGATCTTGGAATCGGGACAGTTTGTAACGGCAGTTGAGATCATTTGAGCCCTATAATAGAAATTAGTGGCGGAAATCTGATAAGCATTGGAGGTACATACATCATCTTGCTTCCAGCTGCATCACCTCCTGCCAAGAATCCTGGGATATCGGCGGGGTAAGGTACACCTTGGGCAGCCATATTGCTGGCACCAACGGCTTTGCCAAGAGCAGCAACTAATGGAGGTCCTGCTACGGTACCCAAAGTACCTGTTTCTGTAGTTCCACGAGCAAAGATAAGCATCATTGGTGCGCATGCTCCGGCTGCAGCTTTAACGTTTCCAGTGCCCTCGAGAATTGGCGCGGCTAGCGCGGTAAGAGGGAGGAGCAAAAGAGACAGAGACTGTGAAACCTTCATTTTGGACACGTTGTTGTTGTATGTGTTAAATTCTCGAAATGTTTATTATTTTCTTGGAGTAGAAAAGAAAGCAATTAGAAGTAAGCTGTGTTGAATTGATAAGTTCAAAAAGAAATGGTCATCCATTGGGGCTTACATGAATATATATATATTCAGTCATACCAAGATACTCAGTCGCAAAATGTTCATCAACATCGCAAACAGTCCCGTGGCGGTACCCAGAAAAGAAAAGAAGAGAAAAGAAAAGATGCGATTGGTTGAAATATCTCATGCAAATATGACGGTTGTGACATTCTGGAAAGATTGATGGGATGAATCTGTGAACGGTGGAGGCACAGACAGATGGAGGATTTCTCCAACATGAAACTCGTCTCAACCACAACCCCATTGTCATTCACACCGAGGTATTAAGGAAATCGCTCCTTCTAGTCCGACATTTAAAATCTTAGATGTTTAGACTGCAACTTTAAAAATCTGGGCGTCAAGGCTGTGTACATCAAAATTCATCAAGTTGAGAATGATGAGGTTGTATCGCCGATTGATGAAGATATTTCAATGCTTTGGTGTGTAGTACTGGTGAAAGAAGGATCAATTATTGCATATTCTAAATTTCCACCGAACTAAAGATAGAAGTATTTTTTGCAAATCTATATTGGAATCTTCACATCAGGTTTGAACATGTAAACTTTTACAAGATCTTGTGGTTCGAAAAGTCCACACTTAGTCTGATACTACAGATCCCAACTGAATAGAAGAAATCAGAACCACGTTTTCATTGGCATTTGTCTGTGCGACGAGCCTCATCAATTGAGAAAGTGGGAAAAAAGTTTATGCATCGGTATTCATTCCGCTTGAACGACATGTTTGCGAAAAGTTTGTGGGTATAAGGTAAAGACACAAATGCTCGTGTTGTCAGAATCTAAACAGCAAACCGGACGATATACTCTTTAGAGTTGGGACGGCTGGACAGTTTGATATCTCGCCATGCGATTCGTAGAGAGAAGTGTTCTCCCAGGACCAGATCCACTGTGATTTGACCTTAAGCTACTTCAGATGTGTTTTGATTTTTGCTCAGCAGTTTGTGCCAAAGCTTCAGGATTCGCTCGCATCGATTTCTTGATGGAGTTTGTTATATCGTCACGCCATATTGATTGATACCACAAGTAGGTTCGGCATTTGAGCTCGATAGGGCATTTGGACACGAGGGCGACAGAAGATGTGACACTGACACCCTGCAAGTGCTTGATAAATTGGAGTATCTTTGGTTTCTTGGTAAACCGCACAGAATTTCACGTCTCTAACAAACAACGACATTCAACCCCATCCATACCTTTGCATCGACACGGAATTCCGACGAGGTTTTATGACACACCAGATTCCGGAAAGCTTGAGTCTTATTCGTTATGGATATTAGACCGTTGAAGAATATGATCAAGACCTTTATTTTTGATGGATTGTATGTGGAGTCTGTCAAATGCCATGAGAAAAGATGCGACTCAAACTCATTCTAGCAATCATTGGGTGCAAGTCTATCAATGAAAGACAGTCATCACGTGATCTAGCCGGCCATCTTGGGTATATTTCATAAATTCACATCCAGTCGGAGTGATACCACACCTAAGACCAATCGAGAAAGATATTCCATAAGAACAAATCAACACGACGACAGGAAGACTCACGGCGCTATATTATCTTCTATCTTTCCATCGTCTACCTCATCGATCTACCATTTTCCGTTGTTCGAATTGAGTCGGTTTATTCTGACACTGAACATCCGCTGTCAATCACGACTTCCCGCTTGTCAAAAAGCTAAACCGCTTCACCTCTATTCCAACCAACTAATCACCATTGATCTCCCGAGATCTCCATCACTTGCATGGCCAGCAGAGAATGTTCTATTTTGCCCCCGTGCTTTTTCTGATTAAGCACATTATTGGTATAAGCAAGTGCTTTCTTTTTCCGAGTGGAATTTGCGATAGCGGCAGGCATTTTTATCACTGGGAGAATAGATGCCGAGATCTCCGAGGGGCAAATAAATGCAAGTCAACCTCAACGCGATTCTACAAGTTGATTTAGAGTCTCAGGGTAACGATCGTGATAGATAACGGAAGCATGACGATGATGGGAGATCAAAATGTCTGGTCGATCAACGTCAAGGGTCCTAGCCGCCGCTTTTTGCTGCGTTATCATGTCTGTCTCTCAACCCTAGTTGCATTGCCACGTCTCGTTGAGATCTTTTTAATGGTCTATCCTACTTCTTGAAGCTTTGGGCAGGTATGACGAAGGAGCGTAAATTACATTACTCGTCGTTTTCGTGTCACTAAGTGGTGACTGGGAACTAAGAATATCTCCACGCGGACGAGACAGGCGGTTCACTAAATCAACCAGACTGAATCACACATTGGAAGCACTTAGATTTCGATTCAAAGTGATGATTGCTTGATTTGATGTCGAGTATTAAAAAAGTGCGTACTGTTGTTGTCATATTACTGTAGTTTTAAAGATTCTTCGTCCCACGCTTCATTTGAGATAAGCTTCCGCAAAGCTGCAGTAGCTATGAAAAAAAGCAAAATGTGATCCTCGATATGCAAACTGAGATGTCAGATACGCAGATGTGACTTTCCCGAGTTTCTCGAGTCTACATGAGTTTTGACATTCCAAATCAACCTCAAAGTGTATGCGAAAAATCTCATCTCCGAATTTACCTAAGTATTCACAAATTTCTTGATGTGTAATGTGGCTACCTTCAGTAGGGGAAATTGTAGTGATAATACATTCCAATTTCCTTCAATCAGTTCTCACCTGAGAAGAACCAACCTCCAATACTGAGTTTGTCTAAATTATTTATATAATATGCTACATAAAGAAGTATCTAAATGTAATTAGGTGAGGGCAACGAAATTATATTGACCACATTTGATACATCTTTCCAAAATTATAATGACCACAATTGATACATCTTTTCCATCCCATCTATACCGAAAATCTATATTAAAGAAATCTCCCTCTTCTCATACCCGACCGCCCTCCCATTAAGAACTCCATCCTCTCCACTAACCATCTCCGTATCCGCTCTCTCCCTCAACAAAGCAGATCTATCCACCCCGCTGCTCCGCTCCACCAAATCAAAAGGAAACCACTCCGGCCTGACAATCACATACGCGGTATAATCATACCAAGGCACCTCAATATCCTCACCCTTCTCATTCTTCTGCTTCCTAATATCCACACTCCACAATATCGTCGCAATAACAGTCAGTAAAACCATCTCGACATGATCCTGTCCAATACAAGCGCGTCTTCCCCAACCAAATCCATGATTGGCTTTGATAGATGGGAAATGGGTAAGAGGTTCTCTGTATGTGGGAAATTCGGGAGAGAGCCAACGCTCGGGGCGGAAGTTTTCGGGATCGGGGTAGAGGACTGGATCACGGCAGAGACCCCATTCGAGTGCGAAACAAGTGGTGCCTTTGGCGAGGAAATAACCATCGTATACATCATCTTGGGAGAGTACGTGAGGAACGCCTGGTTGATTTTGTTAGTTTATCTTCTCATTTTGGGGATGGTTCCGAAACCGGGATATGTAATTTGCTAGGCAAAAAGAAGGGGGGGGGAATCACATACCAGCAGGAGCCGGACTTCTCCACCTGAAAATTTCCCTAATGATAGCTCTCACTACAGGTAATTGCTGGATATCATCAACAGTAGGTGGTCGATCCCCACACACTCTGTCGACTTCTTCTTGTCCCTTGGCCTGCCACTCTGGACTAACAATCATAGCGTGGAAGAAACTTTGAATAGGCGACGACGTAAGAATACTTCCGATCAACGCCAACATACCGATCGAATAGGTATTATCTTCTTCAAATTTAGGAGTAGTAGGCATGCTGAGATGTCGCGCCATCCAGGATGGATCCGGCTTCTCATTTAGAAATGACTTCCTAACTTCCTCTTTTTCTCCAAACCAAAAGTTTCTCTCGCGTTGGAAACGTACTCGTTCTGCTACTTTCCATGGTTGGAGAAAATCGGGAACCCAGTCTGGAGTATTGCGAAGGAATGGAAGTTTGTTTTGGATATCACCATCGGCTGAGATACGGCGGAGGAGTTGATTAGCACGCATGATGGTTTCTTTGGCTGTAGAGAGACGGCGATCATTCCAGGCCATTTGCGATGAGATTTGAGCAGTGCATTCTTCGCAGAATTGTTTGAAGAGGTGTGGTTGGGCGATGAGACGAGTGACGAATGTTGCGGCGCCTTTTTGAGAAAGGCCCTTGAGACGATCGGGGGGCATGCTGGACATGGTGGCCTTCATCCAAGTTTTGATGCGCCTCATGTCATCTGGATGGATGTTAGTATTGCGGGAAGAAAGTTCAGATACTGGAAGACATACCGCCATTGGTAACGAGGGGAATGTATCGATTTGTGTATCTGCAATCATCTCCGATAGCTGCAAGGAATGGTCTATCCGAATAGATAGCACCTCTCTTGACAAATAGGTCTTCGCAAATTTTATGAGAGGTAATCCAGACAGTTGTATCACCGTTCAAATTCACTTGGTACATACTTCCATATTCCTTACTCCAATCCACCATTTTCATCCATGGATTCTTCGGGTCAAGATCAGGAACTGATCCAATGATAGGGTATCCTGTAACAAAACATCAGTAAAGATTCATCAATGAGATATCATACATATTCTCTTACCTTTTGGACCCGGCAACGTTTCTGCGCCATCAGGTATCTTAACTTTCTTGAACAGACGCTCGTAAGATACATAACATATAAAAATCGCAGCAGAAAAAACAAGCAGCAACAATGAGTATGCCATGCTTGCCTATAGTCGATAGAACTTTGGAATGTAGAGAAGAGAGAGACGGGAGACTTGATATTAAAACAAAAAATCGCAGCCTGCCCATCCAGCTCCCGAGGAACGAAAAAGGAAACCCAAAAGAAAAAAGAAATACGAATCCGGTACTATTACACTAGTTTCTCCAACACCAACAGACCTGTCCACACTAAGACAAAACTAGTCATTTTCTTCCCATATACCTACAATTCATCTGACAAGAAGGACCAAGCCTCTCTCGAGCCTTGCACAACAACATCCAAAACATGCTTTGCAGCTCCATGTAGATCGCGTAACAAAGGACGATTGTTTCCGTTGCTGAAACATCTTCGCCGCGCTATGTTCCGAAGCACGGATACCAGAGATGATCCGCTAAACACCTAGTGCCCCTTTTGCGTGCCGACCTTCGCATTGTTTGGCCCAAGGCTGCATACATAAATACATTGCTTGTTTGAAGTTTGTCCTGTCTCGTCCTTTCAGCTTCTGTCGAACGAGGATAATTGTGATGCAACACCGTGAATGTTGGCTGTACCCCCCACATTTGTGTCAGACTTTTGGGGGCTGGCAGAGAATCTTCACGACGTCGCGTGCAGGGCTGAACTTAGTCAATGAATAGTATGCTTACTTGTCATTCTTATCCATCTATACTTCCAAAACTTTCGTGCGTTTGTGATAATCTACAGATTGATAACAAATAGATGTCGAGCTATCACAAACTCAATCTGTACGCAGTACAAGCGCAATCCAAATTCTACCCCGCGGACCGTCAAAAAGCTTGATGATGCAAAGCGTTTCGCACGGGGCTCTGCGCTCTTGAACATTTTGGAAATTGCATACCTACTTGAATCTCTGATCCTATATCCATATATTTAGGCACGAGGGTAACTTTACCAATTGTTGGATTGGCATCGTGAGACAAACAATAATTCCAACTTTAGCTCGAGTGTGATAGAGAGTGTGTATGGATTGGATAACGACGGCATATCTAGATACGAGACGTAGGTACGTGTTTTTTCTATTAGACTCTCTCTAATCCTTTTTCTGTCAAAAAGCAAAGTATGTGCCAGTGAATGAAATGGTTGACTCAAAATCTCTTACCCAAAATGAAATGGGGATATCTTTCGTGAGTCTGCTTGGTCCGTTGTCTGGTATTTTGGTGGTGTTTCGTAACTTTGAAGTCCATATCACCGAGTGTCTACGTGGTCCTGACTAGTCGCACCTGATGTAGGTATGTTTAGTCAGAAATGAAAAGACAAAGCCAACAAAAGTTAGCTTGGATGTGTAACGATAGTCGAGCGTCGATAAACGAACGCCTTATCGATCGCTACAGGGAACATATTAAGATTTCGTATTGTCGTGCAGAAAATTCAATTCTAGCCTATAGTTTTTTGAAAGACCGAAGACCGAAGATGATGTATTTCACACATCTCGGAACCCAGTTTAATTCTGAAGAGTCTTTGGTAGTGTTGTGAGGTTACAGTTCAACCAGACTAATGCTCGTATATAGTAGTTCGATACAACTTCAACCTTACAAAGTATAGACGATGATGCATCAGGTTAAGCATCATCTGTCAGTTCATGGTTGTGGCTTCAGATATGTCGTATTGGTACAGATAAGCAGACAAGACATCCCTTGATTCCAATAACTATTCAAGAGCGTGAATGTGTGTTCCGACCACAATACCGGTATTGAAGAAGCATGAAACAAGACCATTGGTCTAAATACATTGGTCATCATAACCTAAGTATATTTGGAATAGCTGCCTCTGGAAAAGTGATAGATCTCACTCAAGCCTCGGTTGTAGCAAACATTGATACAGACTTGCCAATACCTAGCTATCCAGTTCTAGTTACACATTGAAGACATCGCTTAACAATTCTCGATCTTCTCCAACATCGAGGTAAATTCTGATGGCTTTGATATTTCTAAATTTAGCCCATAAACTTACCATCCAACCTCAAACTTTGAAAGACTGATGATTGAGCCCCATTTCAACTTTTCTTCACAATATATTCACAGACAACCAATCAAAAGATCATACCAATTCGTAACTATTTTGGCATTTGCGTTCGTTTGTACGATCTTGAAACAACATACCTACACACCAGATATCTGATCATAAGATTAGATCAGGTGTGAAAAGTGGGTAGGTCGGTTATCAAAAGTTCCGGAAGGAAATGTTTGTAGATCCGGGGGAATGAGGTTTTGTACGGTGAGGACGAGATCATGATGAAAAACGGCCCACCAGGTCTCGCATTTATGTCAAAGCGACATTGATAGCCATTCCAAGAAAATCCCGTTGAATACACAGGACAGGAATTTGAGAGGCCAAGAACCGATTGATTTGCTAGCCAACTATTGCGCCATAACTTCCTGGACATGCCCCTCAGTTCTTACGCCATGGAGTCAGCGAGAGGCAGCTGCATGCCGTATGCTACGAGACGACTTTGTTATTTGCGAAAGCTTAACCTTAAAGATTATTTGTTAATGTTTGGATAGTATCTAAGATCATCGACTCGAAGGTAGAAATTATGGCTAAGAGAGAGATTGAGGGTCGTAAATCCTTCGAATAATCGCAGCATCCCGATTCGAATACTCACAACATGCAGCCAACCGCAAAATGAAGCAGAGAAAAACAGTTCCATGAACGGGGAGGATGATCTTCGCCACACACAGGATTGGAAGTTTGCATTGTTGCATTCCATAGAAACCGTTTTGTTCCTAAGGATTTGTATTGCTTCTTCTGTGAGTAACGTCGACTCAATGAACTCCGGATGTGACCAGTGTCGTTGAATTTCCTCGATCTAATATTAGGACCTGTGTCGTTGTGTTTCCTCGATCTAATATTAGCAGAAGACTTTGTCGTTGGACTCCAGAGGCAAATCAAGTCCTTTGGAAACGATTGTATCTCTGAGGGGGGAGGGTGTAGGAGCATCCATCACTCATTTTTGCAACAATTCGGAATCGGCAATGAACACCAAGTGGTACCGAATGAAAGGGATCAATGGAATAGATCCAAATTCACTGTATTGCTCCTTAAGTAGAAAATCTTCGTTAGACATTTCCTTATTCTCATCAGCCCATTCAATATAATCATCCGGAAAGCCCATAAATAACCAGACCCCACCAAATCCCACCTCGCACCACACCACATCACAGACAGAAACCCCCTTCTAAAATTGCCCCCAGAAAATAATCCAAACCGCTCAGTCCTGTTTATAATCACCAACAGTTGTTCATCATCAAAACCAAACATTTAATCTCACAAACATCGAAGTCGTCATCCAAACATTCCTGATTGGTGCTTCATATACGGGGCACACAGCCTATCTCAAGCGAGCTTACATTATTCATCTCAAGAACCCCTCTTGATCTATTTTCATCACGATATAGCATTCGGGTATGTCCAGCCGTGTGAAGAAAGTCTTTGAAATTGTAGGTGGAATACCGTGAAAGAATAGGAGGGGGGTTAGGGGTGACTTTATTTGTTGTTCGGGTGGAGTTGAATAATTTGCGGTTCTTGGTTTTTGATTCTTGAAAGATGAGTGATTGTTTTAGATGTTTTGATAATTCAAACATTTGAATCCTCTATGCGTTCAACCTTCCAAACTTCCCAAATATCCAGCCGGGTTTACAAATTGCAAGCTACTGTATTGATTGACAGCCTCCCCTCCCCTCCAGATCATCAAATGGAACTCAAAGCAAACTTACGGTACAATCAACACTAAATCCCGAAAGTTTCTCCATATAGAAAACGGGTCCGTACATTCGGTAAAAGGATCGCATCGTACATTCCTTCGAGTCATGTAACATTGATGAAGGGAAATTTCCATGTCGTGGTCTGGTCCAGCCTTATTGATATAGATTAGTATGGGTAGAACGATCATACATACTATGGTTTTCCAGTATCTTCAATTCTCAAAAATGGAGCTCCATGAAACCTTTGATTTAGAGAGTATATCAAGTGGACATCAAGAATCGTCAGGAGATTACCCCTTCAAATTTTCCTTCTAAGTAGAGATTGCCTGGATCTCATCACCAAGATATAACGCTGTATAACTCTCCATAAGTGACAATTAAAAGCTGTGCCTCAAAACCGTAATCCTCACGTCGCGTCGTAGGATTCTCAACAATTCCTCATCTCATGCATCCCGTTCAATTCTCTAGCATCATTTCGGCAATGAAAAATCATAGGATCGATCTTAGGGGTATCTAATAACTCACACTCTCTAGTATCGCATATATATATATGTAATGATACCTACCATGCCATTTTCTAAATCATCCTCATTCTTTCCTTAAATTTTCCTTCTCAAACTCCTTTCATTGGTATTCCAGTCATTCTTTTCTGGTGCCGATAGCATATTCAGTCATTACCATGTCTCTTATCAATTTGGTTCTCCGAACCGCTTTCATTCTTTCTTTGATATCGACTTCTTTTGCTGCAGTCTGCAATGATCAAACCAGAGGTTCTGGAGACCCTTCTGGTGAGGAATTGACTGCATTCCTCGAGTCTGAAAACCAAATCTCTCGATTTTGTTCGTTGGATGTATCGGGGAAGACGTCAGGGAGTGTTAACTTCTCAGACTTCATGGTGAGACACCTGGATAATACTCAATTCGACATACTAATAGAAGTTAGGTCTCTTTTGAGCGCAGTGATAGCCCCAATTCAACCCTGGAGCATTGCACAGAAGCACTCCAGGATATCATATCCCAGTGCATTGAACCTTCTAATCCAGGAACGTATGGAGGAAGGTCAACATTTGACAATGGAGAAATATACACAATTAGCAATGATTTATATCCTCAAGCACCAACAGTCTCTGTAAACTTAGAGAATCGAGCAGCGGAGGACGCCGCAAAACCAAAGCCTTCTAAAACTGCCACAAAGTCGACTCCTAAATCAACTCAAACAACCAAGACCACCCCCAAAACAACTGTAGCACAAGAAACCACTAGTCCCAAAACCACGTCAACTACTCCAAAGCCAACTCCGACTGCTGTGACCACGAGTCTGAAGACCACACCAAAAACTCCCACTACGTCGAAATCATCGACCAGCAAGACGAGTTTATTTGCAGAAACTCCAAAAACGAGCGTAACTTCCACTAGTTCCAAAACTACACAGACAATCCCCACTACTTCGAAATCCTCCAAATCCACATCTACCCTCAAGACAAGTGTAGCTTCCGAGACCCCCAAGACAATTTCTTCAACCACGACTTCACAATCTCAAGTAATCACCTCAACAACATCTCAATCACTGAGTGCCAATACGAGCCCATCCTCTGCAACTCCCAAAACTAATTCGGTAGCCACTACTTCGAGATCCACTAGTTCTAGTAGTCTCTTAATAAAAAGCTCTTACTTAAGTAGCCTAACCAGTCTATCTTCCCAAACCCCCAAAACAACTTCGATGCCCACAACTTCGCAATCCACAGAAACCTTGTCTACCAATTCGAGATCCACAACTCCTAGTACTATCTCCTCGAAGGTTTCTTCCTCGAGCAGTCTCTCCTCAAGTCAAACTTCAACAAAGAAACGTGGCACTAGTACCAGTACCAGTACCAGCACTAGCACCAACTCCAACTCCAACTCCAACTCCAACTCGAATTCTCACTCTCCCGCCTCATCATCTCTATCAACCCTCTTCTCAATTTCCTCAACCAAAATTTCTTCCATCAACACTCCCACCACCACACCTAGCGCTTCCACTTCCACTTCCACCTCAACCAAATCATCTCAAAGCAATATCCCAACCTCCCTCTCAACCACTAAACTCTCCACTTCAACCCTTGAGGTATCTTCCCACATCCCCGAGTCAACTAACACTCCTTTACAATCTACATCCACAATACCCGTTTCACTAGAAACTTCCTCGCAAAAAAGTACATCGCAAATTGATTCTTCATCTAGTGGTAGTATCCACACATCTAGTCTCTCATCCACCAGTTCCCTCTCAAGCGGAACAAAAATTCCGGCCTCCACATCCAATACCCTCGAACATACTCCAACTCCCTCCTCACCTCCAGAATCCCTCCCCACAACCAAATCAAGCATATCCCCAAATTCCAGCGAAACAACACCCGCTACCTCCTCCACCCCTGCAACGGTCTCAGAACTCCCAAGCAATGCACAGATCCATTCCTCATCCGCATCAAAAACATCTTCCATTTCCTCTCTCTCTCCCAATTCAATCCCTGAAATCACACCTTCCCCATCTACTCCAGCCCTCGAATCAACTTCGCAATCATTCTCTACCGAATCTCATATATCTTCCGGACAAACAAAAATTACTCCTTCGCCTTCTCCCTCCAACACTACATCCCAAATTGTTTCTACCGAATCTCTCACATTTTCCATCCAGCCCAAAATCACACCACATTCCTCGGAATCTTCGGTTCCCGGAGCCATCTCCTCTACTCTTGTTTCCGAAGCAATCTCCAAAAGTGCTTCAGCTGAAGCCCTCACGTCTTTCACCCAAGCAGAAATCACGCCTTCCCCCTCCAACCCATTACCCCCACAAACCGTTTCTTCATCTCCTATCTCCGAAACAGTTTCCCAAAGTATTTCAACTGGTTCCTTAACATCTTCCACCCAACCCGAAATCACACCTTCCCCCTCCACTTCCGAAGTGGATCCGTCGACTTCAGAAACCGAATTGACTTCGCACTCCATTTTCACGAGAAGTCTTACTTCTTCCGTAGAGCCAGAAATTACTCCATCTCCATCTCCATCTCCATTTGAACCCGTCGCAACCTCCGACCCAACCGAATCACCCGAACCAAATGAAACATCCCCACCAGAAACTCCAGAAAGCAATCCCACCGAAACTGCTATTGTTTCCTCAACTTCAGCTCCCTCATCCACACCAATCGTTTCATCCCCCGCTTGTACGGCCACCTCGGGAGGGAATTGCTCTACATGTTATCAATACTCTGGTTCTGGGGATATCTCACCTTCTCTTTCCAACAGTACTACTCTGCAATCTCGCAAACTGCCACCATCGATTGCTGGTCGTATATCTACTACTGAACTATACCCCAAGGTATCCAAACGCGCCGCAGGATCATTTAATTCGTTTGATGCTGCAAATTGGTGTGTTTTTGGTTCGGTAGATGTCCCTTCTATTCCTGGTATGTATACACCTCGTGAAAACCTCGAATCGTTCAAAGGTTGTCATTTAACTAACCTAATATATGAAGATGCATCCACTTTGGCCAGAGCAGGTACTCAAAACAGAATACTGGTATGTTCTGCAAGATACTTCTATAAACGCAACGACCTATCCTACACTTAGATTTACAAAAGTTACCGATACAGCGCTTGCTTCTCAATTGATACCTTCAAATGCGGTTGGGTATACGAAGGCTAGATCAGGAATTAGTTGGAAAGTGAATGCTCCTAGTAAGTTTCACTCTTGAAGCATGCTGTAAATATTGATTAACAAATCTCTAGCCGTTGACGTAGATAGTGTTTGTAAGTATCTGGTTTCTGTTTTTTGGTAATATGGAAGCATCAGGCTAATATCATTATCTATAGATGATTCAACAATTCTGCAAACCTTCTTCGCAATTAGAGTTAACAGCAGCAACTGTGCAGCTTTCAAGGCTATTTTTGATCAGCCAGATATTGTCATTGCAGGAAAATCAAGGTTACAGACTATTTGGAAGTAAGTCTACGAATCACCTCCTCGAATGCCCACGGCTCTTCTAACTTAAATGCAGTGCACTGCGTAGTGATACCAATCCCGATTATGCTGGAATAGATCAAAAGGTATAGCTCTCAACCCCAAAGATCATAAGATATACAACTAACAAATCAAAAGATAAGCATCGTCAAAGCACAAGCTTTTACAGGTGAATTGCAACAAAATACTACCAGCAACGATGAGAAGTTGGCATATATTTCCGAATTGGCCATGGCAATGGCTATAACCAATGACGATGCCATCGCGAAGTTGTTTCAAAGCACCAATCTCCGTATTAATAAAGCACTGCTTGCTATCGATGCGGTGATTGGTGCTGATGCCGTTATTGGAGCTACCAATAGTACCACCACGAGTGGTATTAAAGCAGATGTAAGTACTACCTACTATCTCTTTGCGCACCATTATGCTGTTTGTCTTGTTCCCGATCGATACTATAAGAAAGTCCATAACCGACCATCCCAACAATATCTCATGATTTCTCCATTCACCTTCAAGACAAAAGCTCATCCTCCTCTTTCTCAGTGGGCATCAACTTACCGCGCCTACCTCACTAGCCTCCTAAGCACCCGCTCCTCGACCATCCTCTCCCAAGTCTCTAGCTATCTTGATAATGATCTTGGACCTGCTGCCAGATATGATAATGTTACACTATCAGATGGAACGATATCGACAACTGAAAATTCCATTGGAAAGGGTATTGATGCTTTACTAAATGTGTATCCTCTGGCTACCGCTTTTACATTTGTCCAGGCCAAATTGTTGGGATTTCCTAGTGCGTAGGTAAAGGTTGTAGGATGAATTTGAAAGGAGTGATTGAAAGAGGATAGAGGAGGTTTGTATGGATGGAAGCTTGATGATCGTGTATGGTTGATTATGATTTTGGTGGATCGTTATTTTGAGCCATTTTGAGTGACGGAGTTTGTTGTTTTCTTCGTTATTTGTAAGATATTATTGTTTTCTTTTGTATTTTTGATGTTTTGTATTCTATTCTTCAATCCACACACGAAATACCAATGACAATGATAACTCCAACACGGGAACTAAGTAAGGCTACCTAAGCCTTGATAACCTTACGCATAGACCCACACAAGGCTGACCGAATTCCCCTCCACCAAAGCTCCCACTCTGACTCTCGCTCGCAACTGCCATCCTATCACACCTCAATCCCAACTCAAAATGAGTACTCTTCAAACTCAACCTTCTGCCACATCTACCAAAACCTTCAAATTCCCCCGCGAACATTCCTTTCCTCCTTTCTTCACCCTCCAACCTACATCTTCGACTCTCCATGCGCAACTGCGCAAATGGAGCGATTTGATCCTTTCCTATTTTGCGTTTCATCGATTGTTTCGTCTTACGGTTTCTACGCTGTTATCTTCTGAGTTACTGAGGAATGAGAGGATTAATAGGAGGTTGGATGAAGAGGGGTTGAGAGAGGTATTGGAGTTCATGAGAAAGGAGGGGCGAGTGGAGTGGATTGGCGCAGGGGGGAATGGGAAAGTAGGTGGTGATACATGTTGGGTTTGGTGGAGGAAGGTAGATGAATGGGCGAGAGTTATTGAGGAATGGGTGGATGAGACGGGGCAGAAGGGGAGTGTGTTGACACTTTATGAGTTGGTCGAGGGTGAGGGAGGGAGGGGTGCTGGTATGTCGTTTATTTTTATCTTTTGGTGATTTGGGTTTGAAGACGGGTTTACTAACGGATGGATTGGCAATAGAATTTCATGGTCTAGATATGGAAATATTACAAAAAGCATTGGCGATACTAGTGAAGAAGGGAAAGGCTCAAGTTTTCGGACAGGAGGATCAACAAGGTGTAAAATTCTTTTGAGCCATAGGAACTTTCCAGAATACAATACATACAAGGTTAAGATCCAAAGTCTTATACCATGCGTTGCGGGACGATCAAATAAGTGTCGAGGATTGATAAATCCTTTCAATGGGAAGATTCCGCATTTGCAATCGCACAACGAGGAAGGAACTATTTTACTGAAGCTTCGTTCCCCTTTTGAATCTTCCAAAGGCCTCTACCGAACTTTGCCCGTATTAATTAGTCAATACTTCCGCAAACCCAACCTAAGATCCTTTCTATGCCTGTTTTCCAGAAAACCCTCTAATCGAGAAACATACAGGAGGCCACAACTTTAACTATGGTACACACACTTCACAGTGCGTAGTCTCACAAGAAAGTAACCAGAGACAAAACGACTCTTTCGGGAGCAAAGCCGACCCAAAGATCACCAAGCGAACCAAGCTACCAGGAGCCAGAAACTCGAAAGGAAATTGGGGGGCAATAGCTAGTTTGTACGTAGCTTGAAGGCCTAGACCTAACAAATGAAAAAAAATATTCTTGCAAAGAGTACCTACCGTGTTTCCGTGCACAATGTACATAGCGGTACAGTATCGTCTTTTCCCGCTGACTCCGGGGGACGTACCGAAATTAGATGGAGAATATTATTTGAACCTTCAGGCTTCAGCTGGCCTGGTAGAGAGAGGGCTAGAATGTATGCAGACTAGCACCATCGAGTCTCATCGACCATCCCTTTTCCTTAGCAATAGATTTTTGTTTGATCTGCGGATTTTCTGATGGGAGGGGTTAGGTAGGCACCGGAGCTTTTTTCAGATGGAATTGGAATTGGAGGGATAGGGATAGGGATAGGGATTAGTGGGTGGAATTGGTTATTGGGTGGAAGGAATGAATGAATGAGTTGGATTATTGGGGAATCATTGGATTGTTCGTTTTTGGTACTGTGCTCTGTATATAATTTTACAATCCAATCCAATATTTACAGAAAGATAAGGAGGTAACCTACATACTCTGTAGACAGGAAACGTCCAGGTTAGCATGAAGAACATAAAAAATGAAGTTGTTCACATCAACATCTCATATACCATGTCTATCTCGCATTTTTATATATTTAACTCTGGAATACCTAGCTGTGTTCAACTCATGAATAGACGAATCATCGCATAGTATACTTCGTAAATGGATGACTGGACAGGACAGTCTCCCTCCCGTCTCGCAAGCAGCAAGCCTTTTCCTTGTAAGTTGTATGATGGATGAGGAAAGATGTTATTAACGTTGTTAATGTGTTAAGTCATCTTGGCTGGATGGAATGTCATTTGATGGAAGTTTATTTTTTGAACTTTGTTCAGATGAATTATTGATTGAATGGGTTCTCCGCTTATGGAGAGGAGAGGAGAGGAGAGGATCTAGATGATGGATTGGTAAGGAAGGGTGGCGGGTGGCTTGTGAGGATTACGTGGGTAGGTAGAAAGGTAGAGGGTAGAATGGTATTAGAGGACCTAATTAGAGGTTTTGTTTCTTTGATTGACTGAAGGGTTTTGCAGATGGGGGATGGGGAAGAGAATTGTATCTAGGGAGGTAGGGAGGTAGGTAGATAGATAGGAATTGAGAATGGAAATTCAAGGAAAAGAGATAGATAGATTGTACTGTGTAGAAATCAGGAAGTTGGAATGTTTACTCACTCACTCACTCACTTGCTCTCTTATTCATATATTAAACGAAGTGCTAGAATTCAAGTATTGTACGGAGGTATGTATATATGTATGTATGTATGTACATACCATACTATCAACAGCTAGAATGATGAAATTTGAATTTGAATTCCATTGAATTAAAAACCATCCTATCCATGCATTCATTTGATTTGATTTGACTAACGAATCAAAATGATAGGGTACCTGGATTTATTTCCGAGGTGTTCCTTTTTTAATATATTTTATATTTATTATATGTACCTCTGAGAGTATGATTACTCGGTAAAGATTGGTTTGGTTCATATTGTTTTTGTTCTGTACCGTTCGTTACCGTCCATCCATTTCCCCTTTCTCTTCTATTAGAAGATGCTACCTAAGAGATACTTAGTAAATAGGCACTTTGCCTTCCCCAGTAGTTGATTAGTTGTACAATGAATTGCTCTCTCTGCCTTGGAAAGTCGAATCTCATTGCATACAAAACAAGCTGAGCCGTCCGTCATCATTAATCAAGGATTCGAGTTGTCATAATGCATACACTGCGATGGACCTCTGTCTTTTCTCGATTCCTCCCTCATTTAAAGTAGTATTCACCGCTGTTAGATGTGTTTGATATCTTATCTCTCCATGAGCTACTAGCTACGAACTACCAACTAGTTACTCAATCATTGATAGAACGGGTTCCATACTTTTACACCTTCTAAACTTAATTCTTGAGAGACCGGTAGCAACGGGAACGATAGATTGGTTTACTTGCGGTAGAGGGAGTCACTTGGGTTGGGAGAGTCTCTTGCTTTGGGGTTTGGATAGCACAGTTCAATGGGTAGATGATGAGGATCGTCAACTAAGAGTGTGTATATGTATGGAGTAGATGCAAGGGATGGAGAGATGGAGATGAGATAAGAAATGTTTCATGAAGAGAAGAGAGATCTATTCGATTGAGTTATAAACTTTTGTATTTGACTTCCTTCACTTCCTTGACTTTCTTGATTGACTACCTTGACTACTTTGACTACTTAACCCTATCTATTGAATATCTTTGTATATTCGGATACACATAAACCACTCTTATACTCACATACGCTTCATTCTATACATATAAACTTATACATATACTCATCATTACCTACATACATATAAACTTATACATATCCTCGTCTTAAATATACGTTCATATATATATATAAACACACAACCATCTCTTCCCAAAATATCAGAATCAGGGGAGGGAGTAGCATCCCCAGTTTGTTCGAATCTTTCTTCCACGAGTCTATATGAATCGATGAGATGAGTCCACGACCCACCGATTGCTAAATGAAGCATTGGAAATGATCCACCGAATATCATTACGACCACATTAAAAAGTTAAAAGATCAACTTAATCCTTACAGACTGGAGGTCGCGACCGACTTCTCGAATTGCTCTGACCCTTGTTAATTACGAAAGTGGGAAATAATAATACTTGAGGGCTTCTCGGTGGTTGTGACGGTTGTAAATATTATTATAATTGTTATTGTTGTTATTATTATTGTTATTATTATTATTAACTATCATCATCATCATCATCATCATCATCATCATCATTACTATTATCATTATCATTTCGCCATTGCTGTTTGGGGATTCTGGACCTTGAATCTTCTTCACAGTTATTACTTTTTTGCACTTCAGAGAATTCACTTCAATCTCGACTCCTACACTTTCTATCACCACTTCTCCAATTCATTCCATCTCAAAAGTAGGCCTCAGAGTATCTCACCCATCCACCAGATCTATCAATCCAACACTTTCCATTATACACCCACCAGCTTTGCTTATTCTTCACTCTTTCTTTGCTTGCTTGCTTCCTTCCTTCCTTCCTTCCTGATCGAGAAACGAATTCCTTACAGAGTACGAACCCATCAAATCCATCTCTTCCCTCCCCCTCACCAAAAGAAGAGCCAAAACAAAATATCTTTTTTCATTTGAGAATAAACTCGACCGACAGCTTCTACAGCAGCAGCAACACACACTCATTACAATCCAATACCGGTACATCAACATCAACAATAATATCAATTTCATTTTCACTACCTCCATTACCACCTTTACGACGAATTCCATTCATTACAATTGTTAGTTTCTAAAATAAAATAAAAGCATTATCTATCTCCTAGCTTTTGTTACTCTCGTTCATTAAATCGATCAATCAATCAATCAGTCAGTCAATCGAGCTTTCAAAAAGCTCTTGTTTTACTCCAATTCAAGCCAATTCACTTCTCAATTCAATTCGACGTCGATCAATCATAAGATTCGCATTTAAATCAATTTCCATTCCTTCCTTACTTCCTTCGAAACAAGCCTCAAAAACCGATACGCCATAAATACATCACATAACATAATCAGGGGGGGCAGGTATCATCTCATCTTTTCGAAACGGTAAAATCATCATACCGCCTCCACCTCCTCCTCCACTTCATCCCAGCTTTCAATTCAATACCGCCAAAATAGCTACATTACGAGAAAACCAGTACCCTCAAATTCCATCTTTTGAAGATGCGATGATCTATTCAAACGATGCGGGTTATCCAACATCAATGCCTGGTTCACCTCCCGAGTTATCGGGATCCAAATCCTCGAAATCCTCCTCATTCCATTCCTCTTACCAATCCGACAACGATGAGATTCTTTCCGACGTCAATCATTTCGAAGAAATTGGACTCGACGATGAATCAAGAATTGACTCGGACGTTGGGGAATTCGCCGTTAAAATGTCGACAAATCCATACTCTTCAACATTCACAACGGACCTGCGAAGTCAAGCAAAGCAACAACGACAACAACGAAGTCCCATGTCTGCTACACAAGGAAATACTAGAATTCCAAGAGATTTGACATCAACGACAAAAATTCGTCTGGGTTATCCAACATTGAGGTCACAGATAAGAAATGCGGCATCGGATGGCTTGGCAATTGTGCCTGTACCCAGTTCGTCAGCAAAAACTAGAAGAGGATTGAGTAGTCCCAGTGCACCTGTATTACCGACTACACTTACACGACAGCGAAGTTTGAGCCCAAATATTGGCGCGAGTCCACGGAGTAGTATTTCCGGAGCTTCCGTGAAAGGAAGAAGAGGAAGTTGGGTTTCGAATCGAGAACGAAAGACTATACAAGAGTTAGAAAAGGAATGTGATGAGGATGATGGAGATGATGTACCTGATGAATGTCTTTTGGAGAATGTGCCAATATCGCCGCGGCCTCCACAAGAACGAGCAAGTGCTGCACCATCAGCATCGACGAGTCCTGAGAGACCAGCAAAGGAGAAAATAAAGCCACTTGGGAATGGAACCTCTGCCAAACCGGCAGAACAGGGAGAACTTAGATCACCAAGAGCAATCATGACACGAGGAATGACGACGGGACAATTTTCAACTAATCATTTTAATTCTAATAAACCTCGGGCAAAGAGTTGGAACGAAGCTTTGTCAGATTTGAGTGAAGAAGCAAAGGCTTTGACAGAAGCTTTAGAGGCACATGCGGAGGATGAAGAGAGAAGGGATTCCGATTCTCATAATTACCAACGTTCAGCCAAGCCAACAAGAGTGAAATCATCATTCGCCGAATTACCTCCATTGCGAAGGACCGAACTTATGATTGATCCGTTACCTATATCAAAGGAGAAGGAAGCCGTTCTCTCGAGAACTAGACCATCATGGCTTCCACCGAAGGATCCAGCTGAGGAAAGGCGACATCTCAAAGAATATCAAAAGATGATGGCATCAGCAGAGAAAGTGGAACGTCAGAGAGAATCCGAAAAACGTAGTAAATCAACTTGTAGAGATGATACAGCAAGTTCTTTGTTACGGATTTGGGAAGAACATGTCTTACCCAATTGGGATGATGTGATAAGACAACGAAGAACGAGAGAATTATGGTGGAGAGGTATAGCACCAAGAAGTCGTGGAGCCGTATGGCTAAGAGCGATTGGAAATCCTTTGGGCCTATCGGACTCATCATATACTGCTGCTCTCCGAAGAGCTCAAGCTTTAGAAACGACAATTAAGAGCGGTTCTCAATTAAATGCAGAAGAAGAAAGGAAGAAAGGCTGGCTTGAACGGATTGAGAGAGATGTCAAGGAGACATATCCTGAATTACGAATATTTCAACCCGAGGGTCCTTTGCATGTGGCATTAATGGATGTTCTCAAAGCTTATGCCATGTACAGGAGTGATGTGGGTTACGTGCATGGAACAAGTGTAAGTAACAATTCTTTTTTTCATCTTCACCTTTTTGCTTTTAAAATGGAAAACTAATTCTTGAGTAGACAATTGCAGCTATACTTCTTCTCAACCTTCCCGATCCTTCCTCGTCTTTTCAAGCTCTCTCAAATATTCTCAATCGACCTCTTCCTCTCTCCTTCCATACCAATGACTCCGGCGCCATTTCTCGTGTTTATGACCTCTTCCTCACCACTCTATCACAGAAGTTTCCACGTCTTCATTCTCATCTCACATCAGAAGAATTAAACTTCAATCCAGATGTTTATCTTCGTGAAACATTTGTATCACTATTCACGAGTTCGATATCCTTTGATAATGCGAGTAGATTATGGGATGTAACAGTTTTTGAAGGCGATTCAGTATTGGTTAGAGCGGCCGTGGCACTTTTTGGATCTTTGGAAAGTAAACTTCATGGTGTTAGTAAGGATGAAGAAATTTTGGTCGTTCTTCAAGAGGGGATTGGTGCTGAGGGAATGGGAGAAGAGGATTGGATTGCGGCTGTTAGAGGCGCTGGGAAGTCGTAAGATTATTTGTAGATGGATGGATGGATTGATGGGCATAAGGAGTTTGGAGCAAGTTGAATGGGAATGAAAAGGAATTGCGAGGAAAAGATGGATGAATGAGTGGAATGTACAGTACCAGTCTAGTCGTCCTACATACAATTTCGTGTAGGTGTACAGTAGTTTAGATGGGGAAGCGATGATTAATCGATCGATCGACAGATCAATTAATCAATCAATCAATCAATAAAGGATTTTATGTTACTGTTTTTGATGAGGTGAATGATTTAATTCTATCATGAAAAATGTAGTGTGTATGTGTTTGATACGGTAGAGCGGACCCGACTCCTCGCGATCATGACATGGCAAGTTGATATCAGCTGATGTGTATATACCTACTAATGTACCTACTAGGTAGGTATCCGTAATCTTACATCACGTCAATGATCGGGAGTGAGTGAATGGGTATGGGTAGATGAGATGATGTGATTTCTCTCTGTCTCTCTTTCTCTTTCTCTCATGCTTTCTCTCATGCTTTCTCTCATGATTTTCCAGAACGATCTAGATATGATATGTTACGATAACTGAAGGGGATTTTGAGGAGGCTTGGTTTCCGTAAAGTACCGACAGACGTGCAACGAAAATGAAGAAGGGGACGAAGAGAAGTTGGAATGAATGGATCTTGAAGGGGAAGGGGAGTGAGTATTAGGGATAGATAGTATGGTTTCTTTTTCTTTCTCTCTCTCTCTCTCTCTCTCTCTCCCTATGATTGTTGCACGCGATCTAGATCGGTAGTGATACAAGGATCGAGGGGATCTGGAGGAGGAGTGAGTGATTTTCAAAATGTACCGAGAGGTGTGCGATAGAGTGGAAGGTTGGAGGGGATCTTGAAGGGAGGAAGAGGAATGGAGGGTGTGGGAATGAAAAGTGGATGGAGAGTGGGTTGTTGAGGCGGAGGATAGGAAGAGGTGGTGAGCACGGGAGTTTGTGGAGGGAGGTAGATGGTTGTGAGGTGAGATGAGGTTGTGGTGTTGTGGTATTGTGTGAGGGTTCCGAGAGGGGATTCCGGAGTTATGTACATTTGCGGATTTTGATATGAATGTATTTCTGCTCGGTTTTTTATCAAGGGATACTATCAGAGAAGAAAGAGGAAAGAAGAAAGAAGAAAGAAGAAAGAAGAGAATGATGGATCTCACAAGACTTCATATTTGGAAATGGTTGATAGAGCATGGTTGCACAGTAAAGTACAGGTTAATAACTAGCTGCTCCAAAAGCAAAATGTCTCGCACAGAAAAACTTCACAGCAAGCACTCATCAAACACATATCGCAATATCTTTCAACATTTTAAATTCCTATTCCCGACTTGATCATTTATCCCTTCAATTCCAACCCCAATCCCAACCCTAAGAGGGGAGCAGCGTGAGCGCTCAACCCATATGCAAATACTATAAACCGAACCCTATACCAACAACCCCCGAAGAATCTTCAATCCTCTTCTCCTTGCCCCAAAATCCCCAGCTCTATAGCTATCTTCTCATTCCTCCCTCAAAAAGGGAGGATAATAATATACATAAATATTTTCAAACGATAGAAAGTTAAGTAAACGGTGGTATGTCAGTTGAACCAAAAAGCCAAAAAAAAAAACCCCAGAAACAAAAAAACACATAAATGCCTCTAAACGCCTGACTGGTATTTCCTCCCTTCCTCTCGTGATTCCAAAACACATACATACATATATATCTCTGATTCTCTCATAATCTGCCGTAACGCCATTGCTTGCCAAGGAGGAAAAAATGAATGGGGTATGCCAAATGATAATGATAATAATGCAATCCATGGTATGCTTTCGAACCCACCCCCAAAAAACTTCAGAATGAAATATTCTCCTCGTCGTCATCTTGTATTTTTCCTTTCCTCGTTGATCTCAATGATTCTTAACTCTTAACACCGTACTCTCATTCTCATCTCATCTCGTAGCTCATAGTACTACATATCCATTAATCCTTCCGTGTCTCATGAAGATCTCGTTTCGTCTGGAGTCAGGTAGATAGCTAGATGGGCTCAATGCCCGGCGTGATGACTCGATACAGTATCACTACTATATCACCGCACCGCAATATAAAGTTTTCCATCTTCCATACCAGTGGAAGATATCCCAATCAGGATTTCTAGATCAACAAGAAATCCCAACCCTTCATCTGCATTACCTCTCTCCAGGAGACATAATGTGCTTCACCACCACCAGGACTATATCTCCCATCCACATGACTCCAGACTTCCTTGAGAAGAGTCGATACACGACCGAAGCTTCCTTGGTTGGCAAAATCTCCAAGAGCAGCGAGGCGCTCGGCAAAATGGTGACGGAAGGGAGAATGAGTAGTACTGACAGATCCACCAATGAGATAAACCCACACGAGACTGCGATCATAGCCTCCGGGTCCCGCGGGGATATATTCAAGCGCTTGGGTAAGTTTGTTAACCAACCCGACACAGCTATCTTGGCTGGGGGAAAAGCCCGGAACGAGACTGCAGAGATAGATACGAGCTGCGAGACGGAAAGCAGCAGTCATGTTCTTGCTCAATTGTTTGGGACTGAGAATGCCATGAGCATTGAATGGGATACGGGGACCGGTTTCCCCGATCTCCGTAAGTCCAATTTGATCACCGAGAGCATGGACGTGTTGACAAAGTTGGATATCATCCATGCCATCATTTTTAAGAGCTTCCAAACATGCAATCTCAGAAATGAGATATAAAACGCGATCTTCACAGCCCATGAGTTCTCTCAAGCCGAGCGATGAATTGGTTTGCGACAAATGCTTTTCTCTGTATGTGTGAGCAAATGTGGGTGCACGGCCTTGAATGGTTGAACCGAGGATATCGATCCAAGCTGTCAAAGTCATGTTGAAAGGCATCAGATCATGCGATTCAATAACGAGACGTGGCAGTTCGAGTTTTTGAACGAGAGAAATGGCAGCTTGGAAATGTTGATGCCATGGAATATCAGGGAGAGAGTCGTCGAATCGACCGACCGAACATTGGAAAAAGATCATTCCTAATGTGGCTTCCAATATTGATACGTGATCAGTGTCGCGGTTGAGAGCTTCGCAAAGCTCCGAGATGGTTGCATATCGGTGGCGCATGATATCGTTATCGATTTGTTCTCCTTGGATGTTCATGGTGGATTTGAAATGTTGAGCAGAAATGCTGAGGCAACAGTGTAGGTAGCATTTGTTACCTTGGAGTGCTGGGAGGATGTAATCTGTTCGTGCGGAACCATGTTGATTACTTTCGAGAATTGGGAATATGGTAGGCAAAACATCCGAGACGAAATGATCGAGAAGTCTTTGATCACCCTCATCCAGTTCAATGGCAACTTGACGGAATGATGATGGTGGGCCGTGAGAGAAATCAAAGAGATTCATGTTCAATGCTTCCTCTGCTAGTACTTCATGTCTTTCATTGTATACAGTATCCCATTCATGATCAATTGGGAAGGATGGTAGCATCGATTCGGGTGGTGGTGGTGGGTGGAACGTGCTAAAGGTGGAGATGGTTGATTCGCGACGAGTAGGAACATCATTAACAAACATTTGACGTTCTGTCTTTACATCAATCTCATACGGTGAGTATTCAGGATAAATGGCGTATTGAGAATGCGATGAGTGCATTTGCGCATTGTAAGCAGTGTAATCGGCCATAGGAGGGGCATTGAAATCAAAGAGAGATAATTGAGAATCGATTGATGATGATCGATTGCGGTCTAGGGAGTCGGAGTATGTTGCAGAGGTAGGTAATGAGTGTGTAAGTCCGGGAGGGGTATCAATACTGGATGACATGACTTGTTGTGTTTGAGCTTGAGATGGTGCGGTTGTCTTCTCCGTGAGCTTCTTTCGCTTGATGATAGTCTTGATAACCTCTTTTTGCTGGCGGCGCAACTCATTGTTTCCCCACCACGAAGGTCTCTTGTATTCACATCGTAAACCTAGATGCTTACAAGCACTGCAAGATCCGGTACCTTCATCACACTTCTTCCTTCTCAACCTACATGTGTAACAACCTTGATAGCTAAGGTCAGTATGTAAAGTCGGACGACGAGAGATATCAAAGAAAGAAGATCGGATTGAGATGAATTGAAGTCGAACGAACCTGTCCTTGATCGTCTATGCATTTGCACCTTTCCTTTTGTAGCAGGAGCAGCTTTGGGAGCTTTGGGCTTGGGTTGAGCGACAGCCATGTTGACGTTCGTCGTTCTGATTGCTGATTGAGCGTTGGGGGGTTGTGTTGACATTTGTATTTGTACTGTACCAGCAGTAGATAATAGTGGGGGCGGCGAGAGTGTGAGTTCGGTTCGAAGTGCGTGATATTGCGATGAGAGACTGGGGTTAGTAGCGTAGGTGATTGGCGAGACCGGGGGGACTGATAAAATTAATGAGTGTCGGTTCAAATCAAGTCCAGCTTGACCTTGAGTAAATGAGTGGGTTGTGCGGGTGGTAGATGTTGAATTAGGTAGAGACAACAATCTAACGACGACGATGCGGGGAGGGACGGACGAAGAAATTGACCTTTTTGTTTCGATGTTCGAGAGCCTCAATGAAGAAAGTGAGGTAGTGGTTGCATGTTCATGACCTATATATGAAGATGTCGAAAAGATGTACAATAATCATCTTCAGCCATGGGAAGAATTGGGAAATCTATTTCTGGATATCGAATGGAGTGATGCTATTTTTCCTGCATTCATCTACCTAGCTCATATTCCCGCCCACGAACGTACATGCACACGTGCGGCTACCAGTTGGTGCCCCTTTGGCCCTATGAGAAGACGATATCAACTAGGTCCGAATATAGGATACTTCCCATTGAAGCATGGTGGATGAAAGGTGGGTGCCGTGGTGCACCAGGCATAGGATTAGACTAGGGAATATATAGAAAGAAGGCTAGTTCAAATAAAGTGGCCGCATCGCATGGGGGCAGCATTCACGAACGAGCCTAAAGGAACATGAGGAAATATTATCCAACAGACCATTATGGATAACTTCAAAAACCATGATTGGTGAAGATGATGATAATCCATGCATTGGGGTTAGTTCCACAGAATGCCGTATCCACCAAGACCCTAGTCATCGTTGCTGCATTTGATCCCATCCTTCTCCGTGCCCCTTGTACTTCTCTTTTCACCCCTCCCCCCCCCTTGATAATGAAAACCTACTGCACTAAGCTTTTTATGGGTCGGTTAAGGAACAGGTGTGGCTGGCCCAGTGGGGAAACTCAGCGGTAAAAGAAGGCGATTTTGTGCTATTTTCGCGAGGCGCCTCTTATGCAACCTACTCCAAGTCGGCCCCCCACCTATCTTTCCTCCCCTCTTCCCTTGCCCTATTGCTCCCATTCCTGGTGTACTTGCTTGCCTGCATGTGTCTGTACTACGAATACCATTCAACTGGCACGATGGATCGATGGAACGATAACACATCGCATATCGTACAATAGCACATCGAACATAGCTGGCACCTACCCTAAGGATCCGTGAAGGCATCCTCTTCTTGATATCATTATGGATACTTTGTGTTAAGCTTCTCAAATGATCTCAAGGGTTCTAGGTGGATAGATCGACAAGCCATGATCGGCTGTGTCAAATGTGATAGGTAGACATTTAAATGATTTTGAGATTTTCTTTCTTTGTCAGGCTTTCTTGACTTGTCCACAATTTCTTACTCGTTTGACGCTTACTCGATAAACTCGAATACTTGTGTATCATGGATTGATTCATGGGTAACCTACTCTCTGTGCAGCGGGTGAACACTTTTGGAAGAGATATTGGTCTATGCTTCATTTCTGCAGGACACCTGCATTTCGCCATTTCGCGATAAACATCCATGTACATGAAAAGGTAGATTGCTTGAATCGTCCTATTTGTTGATTCGTTGTAATTCTTCGTTTTGGGTCAGTACGACCATTTACAAAAGCCTGACAAGAGACAAGAGATAACACCAATACGATACCGACATACAATGACGGAGAATCCCCTCTTCCCGCAAAAAAAGTGGTACATTACCTTCCTATTACACCATTGAACGGTCGAGCGTACCTTTTTCTCTCTCTCTCTCTCTCGAGGGTAGCATTCGCCAACTTACGGATCCACAGTGTCGATGCCATTTTTCTAATCGATATCTGCTTTGCCTGCTTATCCGCAGCATAATTCCTTTACTTTACCCCAGCCCGCATACAACACTGAGACCTGATGGAATCATTTACAAACCTCCCGAATCCCCATGTGAACCTTACATACTGTACGATGTCGTTCTCCTCTTCTGCCGTAATCCCGTGCTTACTTCTACTTGGTCCAATGAAACGTGTTGGAATGATTTTCTACAACGGTCAACGGCATGGTGATTTCGTGAAATTTCTCTTCATTCGGCGGTGAATGGATATTTGGGATCACGAGATGTGATGGATTGAAATTACACTCCATTCAATCAATACTAGATTCTGATACCTATCTCGATTCAAAAGAGTACGGAGGGACAAATCGTATATTCGTATAATCGTATGGTCACAAATAGCGGTCAAGTAAGATTGGGCGGAAATCGATCACGACAGGGTGATGAGAATGCAGCCATTCAAAATACTTGAATTGTTTTTCAATAATGATTGCGATTTTCGTGGATGGGAATTGAAGAGTGGATTGATGACTGTGATTCGAAGATGTCAATCAATAAGTGTGACCACTTGCATTAGCGAGGAAAGAACGGCTTTACCCGTAGCCAACGGTTGTCAGTTCCTGCTATCAAGCAGGATGAAGGAAATTGTCTAAAATCTGGGCCAGTGTAACTAGATGATTTATTAGTGGTTCAAGCTTAATTCAAAGTAATCCAGCACGAGATGATCAAGTATTTTACGGAAGGTCTAGGGTTCTCGCACATTTCATGGAAGCGAATTTGAAGCTATTGATGAAGGGGTGAAATATTCTGTGTAGATCAAAGAAAAAAGTATACGCACGAGAAGCTAATCGGAAGAAATTAATTAGATAGTTACGGCCGAAAGCACATTGAAGAAATAGTCAAGCATTTCGACGAACTGATATGTAGATAAACTAGGATGATTAGGATAATTGTCGAGGTAACGCCGCAGGTCTGTTCAATACTACATCCCCCGCAATACACTGCTTGTGCAAGGTAGGTAGGTAGTATTATTTCTGCATGGGAAGCTCTTGACTACATATTGTCTCTTCCCCGTAAGTTGCACACATAGTAACTAACCTTTGATACTACAACGAATTGGCCGTTTGTCTCATCAAAAATCAGAATAACCACGCGAGTTCCCTAACTCTACAAGCTTCATGTCTCGCGATTCTAGCTTTACTTCCCTAACCTTCATTGATCATCACTAGTGAATCAATTTGTGTGCAGAATCAGGCAAACTCTTTTGATAAAGCTTGTTGATGGAGTGGGGGGTATGAAGTGTGGGAACAGCGGGTAGAGTGAAGGAGGTAGCCAAGTCCATGCAAATATTCAAATGCGAGATGGAAGGATTAGGACACGGATGCAACCTCAGAAAGGGACCCCTGGAGTGATAATAACGGGGTAAATTTGCTCCTTCTTCTGTCAAAAAGATCAATGATGCATCTGTGCCAGACTCACACACACGATTTTCTTCGGCAGTATGACCAGGGAAGAGAATACCTAGGAGCAAATCCTAGTAGATACCGAAAAGCTGCCAGGTGGTTGCGAAATGTCACATAATGATCCAAGCTTCACAAATTCATCTATTCATCACATCCAATACAATCCTTTTTCCATCACACCCAAATCCTATTAATGGTATAAATTAAGCGCTTATTGTCAATAATTATGTATCATTTCTGAACCTATCACTTGATCATCTGTTGGTCTTTTTGCTGTATCCCCATCATATTTCGTCACATTCATCCTTAATTAGCAACATATCCCGCTCTCAATGTAGTGTTATTTTTGGACATTTCACATATGTTGGTCTTGCAGAAATTGTCACTAATTAATCAACATTTTCAATAGTCTCTCGCACTCGCCTGCATTACCCTTCTAGATCCCCGGAATTTCGTCCTTCGTGGACCAGCGAGGCTCCGTTCACCCCCACACCAAACTTCACAATCATGAGCCATGTGGCTTGACTCTTGACTGAGAATATGCTAATCATCACCGTCCCCATACGTACAACAACACCAAGCCTAGAAAGGCTGAGGTGATACGAAAATCATCAAATTGAGCAGTTCAAGTTAAGCCTTCCTTCATTTCTACAAATTGTCCAAGGTGCGCACGTTCTTCTTCGAACGTTTATGTGCACATCCCTTTACACTCGCAGCTTTTCCCCATTTTTGCGCCTTCTCCCTATTCCCTAACAATCTAGAATAGATGAAGAAGCTCGGTTTCGCCTGAGAAGGATATCGAGGCAACAAAAGCCTTCGCCTCCTATCTTCCCAAGCAATCCAATCTTAAAATAACATCATCTACAACATTTGTGAAATTGACAAGATCGCAATTTCGTTTCAGTCGATAAACACATGAAGCTTGGACCTGTACAAGGACAGTGGTCGCCGATATCTTCACAATGTGAAATATATCACTTGGCTCTAGAATCCTCACTCAAAGAAACTGCATGTAGGATGATGTGATGTGCGTTGAGGATGCAACTAGGATGTTTGCCCGCATCTCTTCAAGACTTTCGTAAACCGTGCAATTCAGTTATGGTGTTGGAACTAGAAGCATCAAGTAGACAAAGGATTGCTGAGGCTGAAAGTGAAGCCTCAGCAGGCTCTGGGGGACTGGCATCAGGAGTGGATAGAGATGCCGTTTCCGATGTTAGTATCTGTTAGTATCTTCCAACAACGGTAGTTACGCTGATATTACTGAGGCTGATTCTGAAGCTTCTAAGAATGTAGGATTGCTTCCAACGAGAGCGGGTAAAAGGCTCCCTCCACCGATCCCAGTATTATCTGAGTACGGTAGGCACGCTGACATTACTGAGGCTCGCTGAAGCTTCTTGGAGTACCGGAATGTTAACAGCGAGAGTGGGTATAGGAGATTCCTTCAGTCATTCCACCCAGTATCGTCTGATATTGGCAGACACGCTGATGTTCTCGTCCCTCGTGTTTTACTGGGTTTGGATGAGCTTAATGATCCTTCTCCATTGTGAAAGGGTTTGATATATCGTATCTTTAATATCATCATAGTGGCTGACCATTTGTCTGTCTGCCTTATTTGAAAGCTTGATCATTTTTCCGAGACAAAAATAATTCCTGCAAAGTTTATCGTCGTCATCATTGTTTGATAAGAATGTGGGAGACAATGCTCCAAAGCTAATATCTAGGAAATTAAACTTTCATCTGACAGCTCGTAAGAACTTTACCCATTTCGAACACTACACTAAAAGCGTTCCGCAATTCCAGGTTACCGTTTAGGAGAAATCTTAAGATATGGAGATTATTTATGGATATACTAGATATGCACGAGCATGCTCAACTTCACATCTCCATATTAATTGATGTGGAGATCAATAGTAAAAGTGCATAATGGATCTGGTAATCTGAATTCACGATCTTCACATGAAGCGGAAGCGGATAGTACTTAGATAATCCAGCTTATTTGTTTTCGTACGAGCGGAGGTGTGAGAGTACATACTTATCAGTAGGTACAGCACACTTGTGTATATGTATCGTAACGATTAATGCCTTTCATATCCCATTCGCATTGTCATAGTTTCCAAAGAAAACATCCGCATCACCCAAATTCTTGGTCCTTGATGTGCGATTCGACTTCGAATACTGCGCAATTACCCGAAAATCGTCTAATGATGGCCAGCTAGCCAGTAGCGAATTCAAAACCTATCTCTCATGACTCTATTCGTTTTCTCATGTATTCATTCGACTTTCACCATGGTGGAGCGTATTATATGTTGTACTGGCCACCAAAACTTCCGTATGTAACCTTCGGTCCTTCTTAAAGTGACCTACCTGATTGAACACATTGTTTTGGAGACCCGCATGAAGAAACAGTCATGTGAGGATGGTGTGAGTGCTCTTGTTGTTTGCAATTGGTTGGGAGAAAATATAAACTCACTTAGGTCGAGAGGCCATTGATGCATCTGTGTTTATTCGGTTAGGATCTCGACATATACATGCCAAATTTAACGTTTGATTTGCTGGAAGAAAAAAATCGATTTTTCCATTGCAGATGAAAATCGATACTTCAAACTCCACAAATGTAACCTACATCATGCGTACTTTCAAAAATGTATACATTTAATCCACTTCCATACATATGTCTTTTCTTTTGTACTTACAATGCCATGCATTTCCGTTCCCTTACTGATTAAGTATATCGCATGACAATGCACCATTTTGCGCAGATGACGGAGACGGTGAGGCCTGAGACAATTTGCTAATGGATCAATCAGCCAATGTACGAGTATGTCAATGACTTGCACGCGTACTCGTGATACGTGGGGCTTGTATTGAGTATGCTGAAAATTTGACAGAATCGAATGAGGGGCAAATTGAATCCTTCTCATCTGCGACAGCGATATAGTCAAATCGACTGGACTATGTGCAAAGTCCGTTCTCAGATAATTTGTGATAAACAATCATGACCGGCCAATCCAGAAGGGATGATGAACAGGAAAACAATGTTCGAGGACATGGGCATCGTACAGACGTAACGAATCTTACAGCACGGAAACAATTTATCCAGCAAAGGGGAATCATCGGAAGGATTGATTCTAATTGTCATCTCTTTACTCCGGACTTGAATTGGTTTGGATAAACGCATGCGACGGGAAAGTACAGGCACGGCACAGCATAGTCCTGACTCCTGCTTTTCTCCTCTCTTGCTTGCATGTAATATTCATGTGCCGACGCTGATTATTTCTATATTGCATCACATGTGGAACTAGATACATAGGTACTTGCAGGAATGAAAAGCCGGCAGCGGCGGGACATCGGAATACCCTCTTTTTAGAGTCTTACATCGATAGTCTACCAGACTGTTCAAGACGTTGTAGCGGGCTCGGGCTCGGTATCGTACATGTTAGTAGTCGTGAAAGTAGGTTCTTACTCCGTACTTTCGAGTTCTCTCTCTACCTCCACAAGTGAATAGATGCCTGATGGGTGTCTTTCTGATCTGCATGTACATTCCCATTATTAGTCAGGGTCTCGGGAATTGTGGGGAGGGAGGGAATGATGGGAAAAAAAAAAAAAAGAAGGATTTGATTTCTCCAGTTTTCAAACTTTTCAAACAGCCTCCCCCATTCTCGATGTTGACTGTAATATACGGTTATTTTGTAGGCGATAGCGATAGCTATGGCGATAGCTACGGCGATAATCCTGAGAACTACTAGGTATTCCTTATCATCACGTACAACTAACAACATCCAACACTGCCGATAATCCGTACGTACAAATTGCTTGCAGTTCCGTTGTTGATGTGAGTGATCATGCTTGTAATATCTTAGACCAGCGGTTCCGATGATTTTGCAGCATTTGTGAAGTATTCCAACAAGCTTCAACCTTGAAATTTCATTTTACTTGGAGTGATTACCCCTTCATCAACGGACCGCACCGTAGATGTCTAAACGAGACTGGAGAATTTCCCCTTAAATATAGTTCTCACTCAACATTGGTAGTTTTGATGCTCAATATATTGATAACAGAAGACATTCTCAATTGCTTATTGGTCTTATGGACTGAAATAATTTCCTTCTAGTCTCGGGGTCAGATACTTAGGTACACAAGCCGGTGCCCGATAGCCCGATGAAAAAGGCGGGATGATATGAAAAAATTAAAGGGTCTGGATTTGCAGATGTTCTCTGGGCATCCTTCGGTCAAATCATGAGCAATCATACAGAGTAGGAAACTCATCCTCCAATGGACGAATCAAACGCTTCAATTGACGAATTATGTGCGTTAGCCAGGATAAACGAAGAAAGATGCGACTCGGCGCGTAGATGCAGAACTATCCGGCCATTCACAACCAATCATGGATTTTTTCTGCAGGATCCATCAGACCAAGCTTGAATATTATTGGAACGTCTTCTATTTTTCACTTCATTTGTCCTGCGTGAGAGATGTGAGGATATGAGAATTCCGCATGCTTACCCTAGCATAATCTCCTTAGTGGGTCTAATTTTCCTGCGCTGTAGGGTCGCAAGGCTCGCAACCGGATCGTCTCAATGGCTCAAGGGAAACACACGAGGGCCTTGTGGCATTGTGTGGCATTATTTCTCAAGAATAGTCACAATCTTCATGCAGGAGTGCTGAGCACAGTTCACATTATAGAAAATATACCGGGACGTTATACTGCCCATTTGTGAGCTCTGATATACTTGAGGCCCATGATATATCGTTTCGTTTCAAAAATGGCGATACATATACTGTCCTAGACGCCGTTGACTTTAACCCCGATTCCTCCTTCTGATCCTTTTGAATTTTTACGATTCATTCATGTTAGATTGAATTTGATTTTTCTGCTGCAAATTTGCTTTATCGTTATCGTGGTTCATAAGATTTCATCTGGATTTGTTTCGGCTCATAGGAGAGACCCCCGGCAACGGGCAAGCAAGCAGTCTTGCAAGTATTCTTGTACCGCCCGAGTTATCAATTGTTATTCCTGCCCTTGTACTAGGCAGTATGGTAAGTTGATGAGGCTATGCCAGTAACATGCTCATGTATATCGGAGTATCATACTAATCCTACGATGAATGTAGGCTACAACCCCTCTAACAGCCATCGATACTCGGCTGGACATGTACCAGAGAGGTTTCGCGAATCAACCGCGGGATACTCTTCTCGGTTTCAAAGAAACACAGCATCGTCCTGAGCGACCTTTATCATCCGCAACTGTATTCGATACTGACTTTGAGGATGATGTAAGTGATATTGAAGAATTCGAGGACCACCAAGATACTCCACGATATGTAGAAGAGGCCGCACATGGATCGGATTTCGAGGAAGATTTGGACTACCCACGTCTAAGTTATAGATCAGTATGTACCACGTTTCATTCTTCTTATCTCTCGTACTGACATGTCACTATTCAGGGAGGTCGAGCGAGTGAAACTACCTTATCCTCCTACGAAGAAGTATTTACGCCCACATCGGCCTCAAATGAATTCCAATCCTTCAATTTCGACTTGGGTCCGAAAAAGCCGGTCGAAGGACCTCGGGGACCACATTTATTCCGCAGCTCTGTTTCCTCGTCGCTGGATATCCCGGATCAATATGTTTTGGAAATGTCACCCATAAGTCCACAGCCATCGATACTCACACCGCGACACCAAGTCAGCCCGCCTACTCCAGTCTCACCAGATAGCCCTACGAGGCGCCAGCGATTGTCTTTATTGACCGAAAATATCGCAGATCTCAACCTAAACGACATCACTCACTGGACACCACGCCAAGTCGCAAGATGGATGCACGATGCAGGTTTCGAATGGTCGATTGTTGAGAAATTTGAAGAAAATGACATTTCCGGTGCGATTCTGACCACTCTTAAATTCGAGGATCTCCGAGAACTGGGTATCTCATCATTTGGACAACGAACAAAAGTTTGGAACGAGATTCATATCTTGCGAGGAAGTGTTCCAAGTACACCTAAGCCAATTACCCCCATCGAAGAAACTTCTCCTGCCACGGAATTCCGTATGATAAGAGATAGATCACAAAGAGGGAGACAAGAGAATTATTCGAATGGTCAAGAGCGAGGTCAATCTCGAAGGCGCAAGGCTTCAAAAAGAGCAAATAAACACGAGACAGTTTTGCCTTTGGAATCTATTTCAATTGTGGGCATTGAACAACTTATGCCGAAACCACATAAATGCTCAAAGGGAGAGAATTGTTCGAAGTGGAGGAAACAACAACGGTTGATCGCTGCTTTCAATAGAGATCATCCGATCAGTCCCGAAGGTATGTTTGCGATTTGCGACAGAATATTTGAGTTTCATACTAATAGCTAGGATAGAAGGTGGCTCGCTACTTATTGCTGGAGATCCAGGAAATGCTCTTACAGCTCGTCCAATCTCCGATGCAGTACCTTCGGTTGTTGCATCTTCTGATGTTCTAGGTCCTGGCTCTACTCCTGCCCTTCGTTATTTAGAAGAGGAGAGCCTTAAAAATGTTGGATTACGTGATCCTCAAGATAATGTGAAGCAATTCATCAGATTCCAGCATCTCGCACCCAACCAATCATCCGAACAACCTCCAACCCCTCCATACGAAATGTTTCCGCCACTCAAAGGACCTATCGCAGGTCTCAGGGGTCTGCCTAAACTTTCTATTCCTCCACCTCGCCCTGAACAACCCATCAGATCCCAGAGTGCCAATGGATATGGTCCTTGCAGTGCAACCGCCGTTCCAAACAGCGCCATCGCATTTTCACCTTATCAGATGGACCGCGCAGAAGCTCTTTCTCCAGAGCTCCGCAACGAAACCCGCTCTCCTTCGGTCTATCGATTTGGTACTCCCTTTTCCGAGATGGACGTGCCTGTTACCGCTGTGCCTATGAGTCCTGTCGCAAGAGAGGCTTCTCAGTCCGTTCCACCCAATATGACTTATCGTCCAATCACCAACACAGCTTCCAATAACACAATGGCCAACTCTCTTCAACGTAGTCTTTCTCGTATCTCTAATCGTCGTCCCTCTCTTCTTCCCCGAGTTGATGAATATCGAGCTACCCAATCAACCCAGCCTTCCCAGCCAGCCCAAGTCCAGATTCTTCCCAATGAACCAGCCCATACATTTCCAGAGAGTACAAACCCAATCAGGGATCCTACGCACACATCAGGTATTGCAACCTCTATCCGTGCCTACTCTACTACCGATCCATGGGCTCAATTCGGCGGTCCAAATCCCAATCCATCTCACAGCACCACATCAATACCCCTTCCACCCCATTCCTCCTCCACATCCTCATCAAACACCTCCTCCCCAGAGAAAGACACGCCTTCCTATGCTGGCTGGATGAAAAAGCGCCGCACCAAGATGCTCCGTCACGAGTGGCACGAACACCACTTCACACTCCGCGGCACCACTCTCGCCATGCACAAAGATGCTCGTGCGCTCGATGTTCTAGAATGTATCGATGTTGATGATTACGCCATCGCGTGTTCATCTTTAGCCTCTTCTTCCAAACTCAACGCCGCATTTAAACGAGTCAATATTGCCATGGGACGTGGGAATGATCGAGATAAAAAGGTTGACGTTTTTGCTTTCCAATTAATCCCGCAGGCGATTGAGAAGGGTGTGAAGTTGAGAAAGAGAGATAGCTTGATGCCGAGTGGTATGGGTAATGCAGGAGCGAATAATAAAACGCATTATTTTGCGGTGAGGAGTCGAGATGAGAGGATTGATTGGATGAGAGAGTTGATGTTGGCGAAGGCGTTGAAGCAGAAGAGTGAGGGGTATGAGGTTAATGTTAATGGGAATATGATTTAGGGCTTGCTTGGCGGGGTGAATTATGACTTGATGACTTGTTTGATGGATGGATCCATGGATGGATGGATGGATGGGCGGGGTTTGATACCACATTTTGATTTGATGATGACTTTATGAATGAATACCTTCTGCGAATAGCGGCGTTTGGGCAAGATTTACTTTATTGTATGGAGATTTATTCTTCAATGTTTCTTTCTCTCTTTTCTCCTTTTTATTTCGTTTAGATTAGTCGATTGTCTCGTTTCCATGTCTTCCTTATCTCTTCTTTCAACGAATACTTAGAGAGCAATCTCCTTTTGGGAAGCCGGCATTGACATGGAGTTTTTTTCCTCTACTAGATTGATTATTCTACTTATCTTTTCTCATCTTTTCCTTTCTTCTGCGCAATTTCAAGCAGCAATTGGTGTTGGCAAGACGATCGGAAAAGTCAATGGTAAACAGAAAGATGGATGGATGGAAGAAGGAAAAGAATTGAATATTAGTGGAAAGGAATATGAATCTAGACATTCATTTCGATTATATAATGACGGAGGTATTTTGTGTTTATTAGTTAGTTGGTAGTATTTAGAAAATTGAATGGTGGGTGGTTGTATATGAATTTTTTCCTTGGACAAGTATTTTGCTGTGCCGTGTTTTTTTTTGGTGTGTGATTTTCGTATGCGGTTTGTAGTTTGAGAAGGAGGGATGTGATAATGAGGACTTTGCTTCGAATAGAGCAAAGATTATACAAGATGTCAAGTGGCAATAGCAATTGTGGGAATAGCGAAGAGCTAGGAGGATATTGGTTGTGTGATTTATCGAACTATTGAATCTAAAAGTTGGATGTTGGATGTTGTAGAAGTGCTCTATCGATTCGTATGCCAACGGTTGGGAGAGGAAGATAAGATCGTATTTTCCTAAAATGCTTCTTAGACCTCTATATTCAATAGTTCTTCTCTCAATTGAAGACCCACCAATTTTGATTTCTTGCTCCTTGTATTCATCAATCATGTCTGATATCTACGCTGAAAACATGAGACGGCATGAAGTCGAGTCTCGTAGGTCAATAATTCTCCAAGACTTCCCCGTCAAACAATACTTATATTATAGACTGACAATTTATAAAGACTAAATGAGCAATTCGACCTTGTGAGTCGGCACGTACTATGTATTTCTCTGCATTTATAAACCCCTAAAGTATTCACTTGATCACTAACTCATTCCAGCAATATCGGATACCTCATTCATCCCTCCATCGTCGTCAAACTCACCCCCCTCGCCCACAATCGCAGATATCGGCACCGGCACAGGCCTTTTTCTATCTCGACTCGCACCGAACTATCCCGGTGCAATTCTCCACGGCTTCGATATATCTCCTAATCTATATCCACCACCAGATTCCCTACCTCCACAAATTTCCCAAAGCATCTTGGATATCAATGACCCCCCATCCTCATCCCTACATAAAAAATACGATCTCACCCACATCCGTCTCCTCGCCGCCGGCATTAAACCCCCCAGAATAGAAACCCATCGTGCGGAATCTCCTCACGCTTCTCAAACCCGGTGGAGCCATTCAATGGGAAGAATGTAATTGGATGGAAATCCAATATTATCGTTCGGAGATTACTTCATCTGTGCAAACTGCTCGGTACATGTGCGCGCAGTTTAAAGAAGGAATGAAGGATAAATTTTCATATGGATGGAAGATTCTCGCGAGGATTTATGAGGAGCTTGGAATGGGAGATGGGCTGGAGGATATTGTTATTTTGGATCGGATTGTGGAAACGAGAGGGGCGATGGCGAGGAATGCGGTGGATGCTATTTTTGGGTGGGCGAGATTGGTTTCGGAGAGGGAGGTGGAGGGTTTGTTGGGGACGGGGGAGTTGGATAGGTTGGAGAGGGAGGTGCAGAGGGAGATTGAGGGGGGGATATTATGTGAGGTATGATGTTCATGTGGTGGTGGGGTTTAAAGGCTGTGAGGATTGAGAAGATGGGCAGAGTATAGGGGCGACTTTTTGCAAGGTCGTTTAGGGGATGGTTTACTAGATAAATTCAAGTTTTGATGGTTCTTCAACTTCGCTTCGTTCGTCCTGTACTTTGCTCGGTTCTGGTGTTTGAGGGGAAGAGAAACAGGGATGAAATATTATTTGTAGTATTTGACTTCAGATATCAATAGATTCTTACCACCGAAACTTGAGCGGATAATTGTTCTTATGCTACTCAGCTGTTATGCTAAAATTCTTCTTTGGTTTATGGTAAGAATGATGATGCAAGATACAAAACTAACATGATCATCCAGCTGTCTTGTCCAATGTTGTGAAGCATTTCGGGATTCAAAAGTCTATTTGTTGGGTTCTTACTTAAATCATACTCGAAAACATTTTGCTAGCACCCACACACTCTTCAAATCCATATTAAATTATAGCAAACTAACTATATCTTTCTCCAAGCTTCACACCAATCACACCAGGGCTCTAAATCCACCCCCCCTCTCAAATCTTCAATCCATCACCACCCCTTCCACTCGACATAAATCGAATCTCCCACTTCCCAACTGGCCATATCCTCTCAAATACATCAACAAGTTCCTCATTCTCTTCGAACAACTCTAGTAATTCGTATCTCGCTGCATCACTCCCCTTCGTATTCGCCCCTTTATTCCCCAGAAATCCATTATAGAGTTTCCGGAATTAAACCCCTCTTTCTGGATTCAAGTATTCCTGTTGAGAGAAGTTGATACATCTCACTCACCCGATCTCCGAGAATAATTCACATACCTTCAAATCCCTTCTAAACCCCTCCATCTCACACATCGTCGTGTACCCAGTCGGAAACTCATAACAAGGCATATCAAGAATTTCATAAAGTCTCAGTCTCGCAGCATGGCATTCATCTTGCGTGCTCGTAGGCATGACCAGGAAAGATTCAATCTTGATTTGAGCAATTCGGCCGGAAGTGGTGCGTTGGAAACCAATTCTTTAAGTTCTCTTTGTGTATCGGAGATCGATCGAGTGACGGCGAATTTCTCCATAATGGTTCGTCATGGGTCGGCGTAAGGGTGTTTCTTGTAATCGTGCCTGGGGAGATTGTTAGATGGGGGAATTGGAAGATGGATGAGAGGTATGTACTGTGACTTCGGATGTGGTGCTCCAGCTGTATTCGCTGTAGTCTTTGGTTTTCTAAGATTCGCTGAGGATGTTTGTATCAATGTCAGTGATCTGGCTAACATGTTCGGACATATTGAATTGAAGATTGAAAGTTGAGTATCAAGAAGGGCTGATATGGAATGGGGGAGTCTCAAGTATCAACTACACAAAGCACTAGGCTGCAGCCCATAGCCAGTTGACAACTTTCCTGACCACCAATCACATATGTTTCCGCGCCACCAACTGTTCATTTACAAAAGGAGAATTATGCGAGTAGTCATCCAAGTAATTGAATAGCCAATGATAAGATATCATTCTCTCGTACCTATATCATCAGGTAGGATCATTAAATATCACGAATTTCAAAGTTGAATCATGGAAGAGAGTACGCTGAGATAAAGAAACAGTTCCCTTCCAGCTAGTATACGATATAACAATTTGAAAACAGGAGAAAAGGATACAAAGACAAGCTAAACGAGTGTGGCTTAAAGCAACTCGACGAAAATAATACCCATCGCAAGACAAGTAAGATATGTAGAGCGGAATTCAAAACTTCACGATACCTAGTCCTGACGACTTTGCACGACACTTGAGATGCCTGTGGTGAGGGAGAGGATAGTGAAAATACTGAGGAATTGTACGGTGATTGATGGGGTGTTGATCAGGTTGAAAATAAAGGGGTAAATTATGAGCGTCGATTAAGTCATTCTACCAGGTCGCACCTTTCTATTCGCACATCATTTCAAAACAGATAAAATTCGCAATTGATCACCTACTAAGGTATGATCGAAGACTCCACAGTCCTAGCTAATACAAAAACAAAATACAATAAGCCGACCGAATCCCCAATCTAAACTAAGGCTTCCACTTAAATCCCGGATGTCTCCAATCCAAATCCTGTATTTGTTTCTGACTCAATCCATCCAACTCCGCATCCACATCTCTCGCTTCTCTCTTCTTATTATCCATCTTCATCCAGAAGAGCAACGCAATCGATAAAATCAATATCGTCGTTCCAGTCGCGAGATTGAGTCCATTCCCAATATGGTAATTAGGTGCATCAGTGGGCAAAAACGACCACGTGGAAATGAGACCGCCGATATTACCCATCATGACGGTAGTACCGATTGCGCTGGAGCGCGCGGTATCGGAGATGACATTAGCAGCCACTTGAGCATTGCAGAGTGCGCCGAAAGAGAAAGCTCCGCTTGCGATGAGGAAAGTGGCTCCGTAGCGGGTTTGACCATCGTCCGTGGCAAGGAACATGATGTAGCCGCACATCATCAGGGGAGCGCTTGCGATTAGAAAGATGTTGCGTCGATCGAAGCGCCAGCTGAGGAATGGGAAGAGAACGGTGAAGAATGCACCGACAATATAAGGCGGGACAGTGTGCAATTGTTGAGAGACAACGGTGGCGGTGGGGTAAATAGTCCTCACGATTGTGGGAGCGAAGAAAGCAAGACCTTGGACGGTGATGTTGTTGAGGAGGAAAATGAAGGATGTAGCGAGAGTTACTGGACTGAAGATACCACGGAGAATCTTTTTAGTGTCAAATGCATCGAGGACTTCGGTAGCTCCAACTCTCTCGGATTTGACACGAGCAATCGCGAGGTCTTTCTCTTCTTGTGTGAGCCATTTTGCAGTGGCAGGGCGATCGGTCAGGGTAATGAAGGCAATGAGTGAGAGACAACAGGTAATGATACCTTCGATGGCGAAAATCATTCGCCAAGTGTGAAGCGAGCCAAAGCCGGGAAGTTTTAAGATCCCCGAGGCGAGTAAACCTCCAAATGCACCAGCCAATGGAGCCATGACAATATACAGTGATAGACGGAAGGCCAATTCAGATCGTCGATACCAACGAGAAAGATAGTATGCGATACCAGGAAGCATACCTGCCTCAAAGATACCCAAGAGGAAACGAACACCTGAGATTGCGTGAATGTTGTGCACGAATGCAGTGGCAATAGAGCAAATTCCAAACGCTAACGAGGTTCCTGGGATGAACCATCCAGGGCCCATCCATTTACAAGCCATATTCGCGGGGATTTCGAAGATGATATATGAGATATAGAAAATAGATAGGACTTTGTTATAGTCATATCCCGCCATATTTAGATCCTTCTCAAGTCCTGCTAATTTGGCATTGCCTGAAACAATCGATGTTAGTATCGTCTGATGTGAATAGAGAAGTGTTTCAACTCACCAATATTTGCTCGATCAATAAAACAAAATAGATATAATAATGCCACGGTGGGGACAATCATCAAATCAATCTTCAATCTCAACTTCCTTTCCGCAACGGGATCAAATGCAACAAGTGATTGGCCATGGCTATAATTCGAATAAGCAACGATTTCATGCGACAAGAAACATTTCAGACTACTAACCTATCAGTCGCTGCACTACCTCTCTCTGCAATTGCATGAGCGCCCTTATTTAGATGCTCCGAATGCTCATCATGAAAGACACCAGGTTTCTCATCTCTCGACTCCACACCAATCGTTCTCTCCTCAGCATTAGTATTTTGAGGTCCCATCATGCAAAACGAGGTAATATGCTATATCAAAATCAAAGGAAAATAAACCCAATTCCAAATTAACCGAGGAAGAAAGACAATGCTCATATTTCGACGGGGGATACGGAATACTTTATACCTCCGTACTTTCACCTCCCCCATTTTTCAACAAAATCTAGAAATGAAATAATATGGGGAAGCGAAAACGCGGGGTTTGCCTTGGGCTAAAACCTGGCACTCTACGATACATCCCGTCCACCTTCACATGTCGCTACCCCACAAACTAAACATCGCACGCTGAGCTCTGAAGCGAGTAGAATTCATGTATCTAATCGTGTGGGCGCGACTTAGTATCTTCTTGGCTAGTGAGGGTCGGTCAGTCAATACGAAAGTTGGACGTTGACATGACTTAGATGAATAGAAATAGATTAGTATTGAACGTGAGCACTCTACCATCGACAAATGAAGGTTGGGAAAGACACTTACCAAGCATGTTGGGGCTTGATTGAATTAGTGTTGAGTATGGACGGGGGTGTAGGGGAGATAAGAAAGTAAAGACATATGAGAGGTTGCCGTGGCCAAGCATACACACACATACATGCACAGTCAAACGCGAACGAATTTCATGCCGCGTGTGCTTCTACTTGGCAGATTGTGGGGATGGGGAACTAATTGGCCTTTACGTGGGGACGGCATGTACTAAAACGATGGAATGCTTTACTACCCTTTCATCCGGGACCTTGAAGTACGAATGAATATGGATTGGGAACCTTAATTAAAGTTCAGGATACTCTGTTCGCTAAATGTTGACATGTTGGGGCTGGGATTTTAACCTTGTAGGCGGAAGTATGAGAACTAATGATAAAATAATGACATGATAGGTAGGACGTTCGCGTCGTTTTTCTGAAGTACCTTCGAGAAGGGGTCTATGTTCGTTTTCTTATGATTTCATAATCGACGCGAATCCACTATTTATGAAATACTTGTCTGTTGCTGGATGCAAGGAAGAAAAGATAATGCACATTAAGTTATCAATACACATGATTAATAAAGCTATAGATTCGAATAACAATATCATCTGTGTTACTTCGATTTCCTAATCCCTCTACGTACACTTCCTTGGTGTCTCTTCAATCTGGACTGTAATGCAGATTCTAAAGCAACTGATATTCAAAAAACCGTAGATCTTAAGATGAGTAGAGCTACGAAAAAGATTGATTCCCCAAGGAATTAAATAATCCGTCATCCTTAGACTGCGCTACGGACCAGTGAAATCCTGCTTCCCCTATATTGTTTGTCTCTCGCTCAATGCAGTTTCCATTTCCTTAAATATGGTTGATTCCAATCCTTGGACCCCATGCTGTCATAATATGCAATGTTCATAAATCATAAATTCTAACCACCTCATATTGCAATACCACTCTCCCACCAATGCTTCCCAGTATACCATCCAACTCCTACATGCTCCCAACACCACCACCCATCATCTTTATCAGCAAATCCCAATCCTCTAAGTAATGAAATGGGAATGGGTTCATAAAGCCAGATTCCACCCCGAGCAAAGTCATCCGCTATCAACCATCCTGTCAGTAGACCCCATGATAATGCATAGACTACATTCGTTGCCTGTCTCACTGGCTTCGGGATGTTTTTGATGTATTGAGACAAGACGGCACAGAAGCCAGTTTGCAGAAAGATTCCAACGGCTTGCAGCATGAAAAATTTAGGTGGATTTCCTGGTTTTGTTTCAGGAATTTGAGATATACTACCGCCAGCATGCAAGATTCCAGATATACCAAAGGCGAAGAACGACGCGATGAGCTTTGTGGCTGAAGACTTGGCATCTAAATATCCATTTGTGATCAAATAGTTTGTTGGTGAGGAGAATATGAGACGGAATATTTGATGCCAAGCACCTCCCCACAGCCCAGCAAGGCCTTTATTTGCAATGACAGAAAGAGAACCCCATGTGGTGGGGTAGTACCATGCTTCACCCCTGAGACCCATGAATGAGGATGGGCCGAGAAGTAAACATCCTACAAGAGGGGCCAAAAGAAAAACCATGTCTAAAGAAATGAGTATCCCAGCCATTGACAAAAGCTCACGATAGAGAGAGCGCATGATTGGAGACATTACTGCAACATGTGGAGGCAGAGCATAATTGTTGGGACCAAGCCAAAAATATGCATCATTCATCATGATAGTTTTGATAACGTCAAGTAAGAAATATCCAATAATGAAACGGAGAACTTGAGCCCTGAAGACTTCACTTCTTGTGTTAAAGCGCTTGATTCCTGTTCTAGATATATCATGTCTTGATGCTTCATCTGCAGGTTCTCCTAATTTGTTGTAGACGGATGGGGGAAGCTTTGGTATGTTGGGAATTGTCCAGTTCCAACCAGGTCCACGGAAATTGATGATCAAGTCGGATATCCAGTTCAATCTCTCCCAACTATCATCTGGGTACGATTGCCAATAGTACTGAGATTTCGTTATCTCATTTGTAGCCGGCTGGCCATGAAGCGGCTCTTTGCCATTTGGTGCCTTGGAGCCAGGGGAAAGTTCGTTATCATCTCCATTTACTCTAATGCGCTGCCTTACATCTGATTCAATGCCATTTCCGTATGCAGTAGTTGTCCGCTGGTTATCCTTTGTGATGACATGGTTTTCCTGAATCTTCCTTCTCTCAATCCTCTTAGCATCAAACTGTGGCCACATAAACAATAGCCAGGTCAAACTTGTAACAATTCCATAGACACTCATCAAGCCTGCCACGAAACTGATTGCCATGTTCGCACTACTCGTGTGCCATAGTGTTTTGAGCTGAAACCATGTTATCGTAGCCAACACAATCCATCGCGCCTTGTATAATATTGGACGATTCGTATGCCGCACGCAAAGATAAATGCCCAGCAGTATAAAGCCGTAGAGATTATATGGTACCACCATAGGCCGAAGTGTTCCTTCCGACACGCGATTTTCGAAGATTTGACGATAGGTGCCTACGACATCTCGAGGACTTGGAGGATCGGCTGGATTTGCCGTGAAAAGGCTCGTCATTCCTTCTTGTCTAATGGCAGCACAGACAGAGCAGAAGAGATAGGGAGGGATAGAGTGAGAGAGAGAGAGAGAGAGATAGTACCAGAAGGGTAGTTTTGACTGCACTTGAAAATACCTTACTACTTTTGGAAATTATTTAAAAACGCGATTCAGCTGCGTGGTGGCGCAAAGCAATTTGTGCACCGTGTGACACTCTTTCCAGAACAAATGATAGAACAGCAAGTCCCTAAGGTCAAGCCTTGTATAATTATGATTTGGGAGTTGATGAGTTGCATTCGTTTTGATGAAGATTGTATTTTCATGCATGCATTTTTGCGTGTTGATGTCGATGAGGTCACTATGAGATAGATAGCATGATCCAGCCCGTAGAGAAAGTAGAGAAATTGTGGAACTGCCCTAACATAAGCCAAGTGTCAAAGATGCACGAGAACCTCATATTGATATCTGAACCGATTGACAATGCAAGATTACTCCATATACTCAATCAATATGTGGTAGTATGTAGAAGTTCATCATGTGACTGTAGCATGAATAAATCCTTGGATGTAACAGGTTACTTCATCCAGCCAGTGGACTTATTAGACACTGGGTATATGGATTGATGTGTATCCATCATCAGGGTGCAATAGAAGAAAGCCTTCAATCAAGATGCAAGAGTCCAACCATGGAGTTGAGGCGAGACCTTTCCTAGTCATCTACAGTACAATTCAGATGATGTGTGGCTCAAGATTGTCTTCATCACGTGATAATAAATCGTTGATCCGCCAACGAGAGACCCGTGAAAATGTTTATCAATAATTATCCTTGCATTAGCTGGAAATCCTTACCTACCTTACTTGCTGAATGAAATCAACATTCACTCTTACCAAATTTTTAGGACTTTCTTACATTTCTTTTAAATCGCGTCAAATGTAACACTATCTAGAGATTCAATTCAATCTTTTACTAACCTCGACAACTCGAATAATCCACAATCATGGATCCATCACCACCAAAACGTGTGACCCGCGCGAGGGCAGTCGCAAAGTCAACAAAAGATCCTGGAGTCAAATCTTCCAAAACCGCACCTGCCGTATCGAAAGCAACCAAGGCCACCACCGTTACAACAAGTGCGAAGAGAAAGACTAGAGCAGATGAAGAAGATGAAGATCAAAACGACGAATTGGGAGAAGAGACCAAACCAGAACCAAAACCCACTCGCGGACGACCAAGGAAAGCCAGCGTACAAGTGGAAACGGAGGTAGAGGAAACCATGGCTCCTGTAAAAGCAACACGAGGTCGACCAAAGAAATCTACAATCGAAGCCCCGGCCCCTCCACCCCCTAAACCTACAAGGGGTCGACCAAGGAAAGATGCATCTCAGGCGGAACCAGAATCAATTGTGGTCGAGGATCCTGCAAAGAAAACAACTCGCACACGTGCTCCTTCTGCTACACTTTCACGCGCCATGGGACCGAAGAAGAGGGTCAAGTTTGAGGAACCAGACAAGGAGAACATTTTACCATCCTCACGAGCAAAGCCCAAGGCTGCGGAAACAGCCTCGGGACTGCGAGCAAAACCGGTTCGAAAGCCTGTATCATCTGCAACAGCTTCAACTCGTGCAACTCGTGCTAGAGCCAAGCCTGGCCAGGACGAGAAGGTAGAGAAACCATTACCGTTAAGCCCGAAGAAAGCGACACAAGTTAATGCGAAAAAGGAACAGTCGTCAGACGATGAATTATCAACAACAGTAAAGACTCCAATGAAATCATTCATGAAGAGTCCTGTCAAACCACCAGGAAGTATCTTTGATACTGCGAAAAAGATTGATTTCTCGAAGTCCCTTGCAGCACAAAAACCTATAGAAGGAGCTAAACTGGATTTCCACGCATCGAGTATGATGAGTCCAGCTCGTCGACCCCCACAAACTGCAGAGAAGAAACTGGATATACCTACATCATTTGCTGATAACCCTTTGATGGAACCTACCCAGATTTTCAATGCATCAACATTGGCAAGCCCTGCTCGACGCCCACCACAATCATCACCTTTCAAAGAGACATTGAAGTCAAATGCGCAAAGATTTGAATTTGGACATAGCATGCGATCACCTTTCAAACCAAATTTATTTGCACCAGAACCTTCAACGACTGCATCTCCTTTCAAAGCATCTCTTCTTCAATCGCCAGCTCGAAGACCAAAATCACCTACCAAAGTCGATGAAGCTGGCTCACCAATCAGAACCAACCAGAGCGCTTCAATATTCGATGCCACTCCAAAAGCCAGCACCTTTAAGATTTCAAAATTTGAAACCCCGAGATCTCTCATGAAGAGCGCAATCCGTCCTGGTCCGATGTTTCCTCCAATCCCCTCGAGCGCCCTCAAAAACACTGTTTCCAATGACAGTCCAATTTCGAAGGAGGCGAACTCTTTGCCAACTCCTGTTCTAGAATTCTCCGGTCGACTCTCATCGATTATACCGCGCGCTGCTGATCCAGCTTTGTCACCTGCAGTTGAGCTTCCAAACAAAATAGATGAGCCCGTAGAACTTGTCGCGGATGACGCCCAAGAACAATTTGACCACCCAATAGCCACCGAAGATACAATTGAAGTAGTCGATACTATTGAAGCTCAGAGCACCACACCACCATGTTCTCCTCCTCGTAAGAATGTTGGCAGTTTGTTTGAGCTTCGCGAAGCGCCGATCGATGACAACTCAGATTCAGAAGATGAGCTTGCTCCTGCGGCTAGAAATCATTCATCTGCCCCGTTTGCCAACTTTCAGATTTCTACCAACGACTTCGCCTCTTCTCCTGCAACACCAGTCCGGCTTGGTAACATCAACAAGACTCCCAAAATGACTACAATCAAATCAGCGATGCGATCTTCAAGTAGATTCAATCAGGAAAAGATTGGTTTCACTCCTTTAGCAAAACAACTCAGCAACTGGATGGCTGCAAGCCCTGAGAAATTTGCTGAAATCGAGGATGAAATTGCTGACCCTGCCTCACCCGCACGAAAGGTATCAGCGAATGAAGTGTTTGCCGACTTGAATACGGCTGCAGCTTCTCCAGCTGTTCCTTCTCCAGCTAAGAGTAGTTACTTCGAGGATGAGATGAGGATTCGAGACGAACTCAACATGGCCGAAAACGAATCTATTCCACTTGATGCTCTCGAAGCTGAGACCAGTGAGCCAGAATTTGAGGATATTGAACTCCTAGAGGAAGATCTCGACCTTGCAGAAGAAGCTGATGAGTTATCGATGTTGGACCCCGAAGCATTTGAAGCAGGCAATGATGATGAAAATGAAATTGCAGAGGAGCACGAAGAAAATGACGAAAATAAAGAACATGAAATTGCAGAGGAACACGAAGAAAACGACGAAGATGAAGAACATGAAGCGACAATCTTGGGCAATGTTGAAGATCCTGAACCTGAGCGAGAGCCTAGTCCTTCCGAAGCTAGCCAAGAATATGGGGATGAGAATGAGATGTTGATCGATCCCGCACTTTTGGCTCCTGCACCTCAATCATTAACTGCACCAGCAGCTTCAGCTTCAGCTTTCACGACCCCCAAGCGCGTTTTGACCGAGAGAACATTCCATACTGTCGCAAAAGTGCCACTCAAAGGTGCTCATGAAACTCCAATGCGGCCATCGCAAGCGAAGAGAAGCGCTAGTAGCTCGAAACTTCCAGCTGCACGCCCATCTAGCTCTTTATCCCGTAACGATACCGTAATCTCATACTCACCATCTAAGAGTACACCTAAATCTGTTCAAGAAGAAGAATCCACGGAGAGTGCAGATAGCCAACAATTTGCTACTCCTATCAAGTCAGAGACTCTTACTTGGTCAACAGTCGCCACACCAGCCCGTACACCACGTCCGGATCTCAACACAGCACTTTTGAAGGGAGTTGTAGTTTTTGTTGATGTACATACCACTGAAGGCGCTGATGCCAGTGGTTTATTCACCGAATTGCTTACACAGATGGGCGCCAAATGTGTTAAGACATGGTCATGGAATCCTAACAGTGATGACAGAAGCAAAATTGGGATTACCCATATTGTTTTCAAAGATGGTGGAAAGAGGACACTCGAGAAAGCTAAACAAACTGGAGGAGTAGTTTCTTGTGTTGGTGTCGGTTGGGTTTTGGAGTGAGTCTTTTTCTTGGTAGCCACACCTTATGTTGAACCAGTTTGCTAACAGGGTCAATAGTTGTGAACGTGAAAACCAATGGCTCGATGAGGCCTCTTACGCAGTTGATACAACCATGGTCCCTCGAGGAGGTGCACGTCGTCGTAAGAGTATGGAACCTCGTGCAATTGCTAATCTTAACGGCACCCTCGTTCCATCAACTGTACCTGCAAAATCTACATATTCAACCCTGACCTATCCAGATACCACACCACTAACCCTCAAATCTAAGAGAAGAGAATCGACACAGTGGCAAAAATCACCCATTTCCAATGAAGATGGTGAAGGAGATGAATTGGGTGACGACAATTGGATGTTAAGCCCTGTTCCCGCTACACCCGCTCCGGAAACAATCAGTGCATATGCTGAAGAAGGATTGTGGGGTGCGGAAACTCCAGGTGCCCAAACACCTTATTATTTCAAGAAGGATAAATTGGTGCAAATGACAGCTCCAGGTGGAAATAAGAAGTTTGTGGACTTTGAAGAGGGTGAGAGCAGTGGAAGTGGAAACTCGGGAGATGGCATGGGTTTCTTGAGAAAGGAAAAAGATCAGAGTGTCATGATGAGATTGATGGCTGCTAGGAGAAAGAGTTTGCAATGGGCACCAAAGGTGGGAAGTCCACTTGCCAAAAGATTTGATGGTGGATTGTGAGGTTGAATTTGAATGCTTTATGAATATGAATGGGAGTTTAGGCTGGGGATACAATTTTGTTTGCAATTGCATGCATTGGTTGAGGAAAATGCTTTGCTGCTTGGCCATACTTTTCATCATTGGCTAGCTGTTATTTCGACAATCAAGTGAGCATTGTTCTTAGTCGAGCAAGATCAAAGAGAATAGAGTGTTGATGTTTTAGGGGGCCACAAGAGACTAGCTTGACGTAATAAACCGCAGGATTTAAATGAATGAACGATGATGATTTTAGCAATATAAATTTGTTTACTATGCAGGTGTACTTTGAAGTGACGATTGTGATCGTATTGGGCACTTTACTGGCTATAGTCTAGCTTTCTTATTGACATCGAGGTATCATAGGTATCATAGACCTCAAATTTGTTCTATATCTGACAAGAATTGGATCTTCAGCAAAATTAAGTGTCGCTTAAAAGAGCTTTAACTTGACTCAAACGCCTTCGAGGCATTCACGGCACCCATACTCAATCAAGTACATCCATTGATCATGCTCTGCATCGATATTTATGCAATACATTTATGAAGTCTGGAACCCAGTGGTTATTGGTGACGTTTCCAACATGTTTACCAACATATGGCGCTGTTGGTGCTCATATGCAATATGATTATTCTTCATTTTGTATCTTCCCTCTACTTTTTCCCTTTCTTTTCCACCACAAAACTGCGATAAAAGCACAACGCACCCATCCCATTCCATTCCATCTCTCCTCAATCTAACGCACCCCCTCCACCCCCACCTAAACCGTGCATAAGGAGAAGGGAGATGCGGTTGTGATACAATTGGGTGTATATTTGTGAGAAGGAGGCGTTTGGGGAGATTTTTAGGAGGAGAGAGGGGTTTGGGAGGCCGGCGATGTTGGGTATGTTTAAGGGGGGTTTCTTTGAGGATTTAGTGAGATGGAGAGGCAGAGTGAGTTCTGGCTAATTTGATTTTTTCGAGATTATAGCAATGTTGGATGTTTTTGGACCTAATATATCTACCGTACGTATATTTATCTGTGTTGTTATTTTATAGCACCCATCGTTATTCATGAACAAAACTAACACCCCTCCAGGCCGGCGGAGCAGACTGGCAACGCCAACGCAGAGTCACCGGCGCGCAATTCAACGATCACAATAGCTGCACCGTATGGATCCAAGCACTCACCCAAGCAAATGAAGTACTGCAATACTGGAAATTATTACCAACACCCATTCGTCGCACTCATAAAGATACGAGAACACTTTCTCTGCATGTATTATGGGGTGCTGGGTTCGGGAAGCCGTATTCGTTTACAAAGGCGGCGGAAGCTCCTAAGGAGGGCCATATGTTCAATTATCGGGATTCGTTGGCTTTGATTTTGGAAAATGCTTTGATGATTTTAGTTTTTGGACCGATATTTCTCGGCAATAAATGGTTATCCAAGCGATTTAGTCGTTTAGGTCAAGCTTGCGTGGAATTTAGGGATCATATGGAGACGATGGTGAGAGAGGAGAAAGAAGTCATACATCGGGGCAAATCTGGGAGTCGGAATCTCATTAATTCGCTGATCATGGCGTCGGATGAAATAACTCAGTTGTCGGGAGATAAGAGGATGAGTGGAAGAGGATTAACACAAGATGAAGTGTACGGTAAAATCTTTGTCTATAATTTCGCTGGGCATGATACTATGGCCATCATGATGAATTGGGCTTTGTATCTGCTTGCTGCCAATCCGGAAGTTCAGGAATGGGTACGCGAGGAGATACTTGCTGTGGTTATCGATGATGACGATGATGATGAGACTCAATCGAAATATCAAGAGTATCATCCGAAATTGAATCGCTGTCTAGCTGTTTTGGTAAGTACTACTTTCCTATCTATACAATAATAAAGAGAGAAACTAAAAAAATACCAGCTCGAAACTCTTCGCCTCTTAAACCCCCTAATAGGAATCGCTAAATCAACAGCTGTGGAACCACAACCTCTTACACTTAATGGAAAAACCGTCATCATCCCATCAAATACGCGTGTAATACCTAATATTAACGCGATGCACTCCCATCCGATATATTGGGGTTCAGATGCACTCATCCGGCGTCCCAATCGTCGGGTTCTCAGTCAGAATCTCGACTCCGAAACTCGAAGTCAAGAGGATAATCTTCCAAATGGATCGATAAATCCTAAGTTAACTCCGGAAGAAGAGTTTATTTTCTCCCCCCAGAAAGGTACCTATGTTCCTTGGTCAGAAGAGGCACGCGCGTGTCCGGGGAAAAACTTCGGTCAGGTGGAATTTGTGGCGACGATGGTTTCGTTGTTTAGGAAACATCAGATTGAAGTGGTTCCGGAAAAGGGAAAGAGTATGGAAGAGGCAAGGAAGAAAGCGGAGAAGAGTGTTTGGGATAGTGAGATTGTTTTGTTGTTGCAGATGAAGAAATCGGAATTGGTGGGTGTGAAATGGGTGGAGGTTGAGTAGATGGTTTAAAGAGTTTCATAGTGTGGCAAAGTATGTATAAGGAGATTTCTGATTGATTAAGGGGAATGGGGACAATTTGATAGACAAGGAATTTCTTGAGCTGCTTGATTTGATGTATGTTTGATTGTAGATCAGTAAAAGTAAAAGAAGCTACAGATTAGATATCTGCAAGGTGCCGGCCGACCTACCTTAGTTCCCGGTGAGCCCTGTCCTGTCCCGTTCCGTCGCAAAACTCTAGCCTTCCCGTCCGTCCCCAGCCTTGTCAAAATTTCTCTTTCATGAAAAAGAAAGTTTTAATCAATTGTTTCTCCAACTTTCCAATTGAATCCAAAATCGATCCAATTTCAATTTCCATGAGATGATGTTATAGTCCTCTAAAACCCATATCAACATCTACCCATCATGTTTGAAAACCTCTGTTCTTTACCTCTCACCTCTGAGCTCTTCACCCAAGCTCTACATCCCACCGAACCTATCCTCGCAGTTGGTCTTTCGGCGGGTCATGTACAATCTTTTCGATTACCGCCTCCTGAAACTGCTGCTGAGGATGAAGATGGAGATACGAGTGTGGTGAGCACAGGGACTAGTACTATTGAGACGGGATGGAGAACTAGGAGACACAAGGGAAGTTGTAGGACTTTGGGGTATAGTCATGATGGTGAAGGTTTGTTTTCCATTTTCTTCTTATGCTTTTGTTTGAAGTGGAATTTATTTAGCATACTGCATTTGAATTTAAATTCTACTATTCAATTAACGCATACTAACACCCAACCCCAGTTCTCTACTCCGCCGGCACCGATTCCCTCCTCAAAGCCGCCACGTCTTCCACCGGCCAAGTAATCTCCAAAATCCTCATCCCAAACACCAACACCGATAAACTCGATCCTCCTACCCTCCTCCACGCCCTCTCCCCTCAAACTCTCCTCCTCGCCACCGATTCCTGCGCTCTCCATCTCTACGATCTCCGCGACAATTCGTCTTTCAAATCTGGTAAACCGGCGCAAACACATTATCCACACGATGATTACATATCCAGTTTATCCCCGCTGCCACCTACAGAAATGAGCACGAGCGGATTTAGCAAACAGTGGATCACGACGGGAGGAACTACATTGGCGGTTACGGATCTTAGGAGAGGAGTACTGGTCAAGAGTGAGGATCAGGAAGAGGAATTACTGAGTAGTGTTTTTGTGAGCGGATTGCCTGCGAGGGGAAAATTCGGGAGAGAAAAAGTTTGTGTGGGAAATGGAAATGGGGTTATTACGCTTTGGGAAAAGGGAGTTTGGGATGATCAGAGTGAGAGGATTATTGTGGATGGGGGTGGAAAGGCCGGGGGTGAGAGTCTAGATGCTATGATTGCGATGCCGGAAGATTTGGAGGGGGGATATGGTGGAAAGTGTGTGGTGGTGGGATGTGGAGATGGGAGTGTGAGGATTGTGAGGGTTGGGGGGAGGAAGGGGGGTGGTGGAGGATTTGAAACATGATGATATTGAGGCGGTGGTTGCGGTGGGATTTGATGTTGGGGGAAGATTGATTTCGGGAGGTGGAAATACGGTTAAAGTTTGGAACGAAAGGGTGGAGGAAGATGAAGAGGAAGAGGAAGAAGAGGAACAAGAAGATATTGAGGATAATGATGATATTATGGGTGATGGTGGAAAACGCGCATTGGAAAAAGATAGTGATGATAGTGATGCTAAGGCGGATAGTAGTGATGAGGAAGATGGCGGTCGCAAGAAACGCAAGAAGAAGAAGAGGGGAAAGAAAGGACAGGTTGGAAATGGAATTTTGAAGTTTAAGGGCATGGAATGATTTGTTTGTAGTTATGTAGTTCAATGGAATGATACCCAATTTGTATTTGTGTTTTGTATTGCAGTTGTGAAATACATTTATTTCTGAGATTTGTATGTATGTAAATACACATGAATGTGAATGTATCATATCTCAATAGACAGTTTCTCCTGCTCCAGTGGTACCTTCTCCAGCATATTGTTACACGCAGGAAGGTCATCACTCAGTTTCTCCCTTTCAGTGCCCGGAAAACGCAACACAGACAGCGATCAATCAACCAGCTAACCTCATCGAAGTTAAGAGTAAGAGATACAAGAACCTCAAGCAAAAACCTCAAACAAACCCCCCATAAGCAAACCCTCAAGTAAAAGCAAAAGAAAAGAAAAGCAGAAGAAAAAGAAAACAAACATCATCAGGTATAGAATAATTAATCAACTTTCCTATCGAACGAACGAAACACATAGACTGGTGGACACGGAAACAAATCAAGTGTCGCTAAATGAAGGGGGCTTAGGGTAAGATTCGTAGAGGGGGAGAGGAGGGGATTTAATATATCCTATCTAATATAATATTCTATTCAGTATACTATCCTATTATATTATTCTATTTAATATATTTTACTATTCTATTCTATCTTCTTCTATTCCATCTTATTCTATCCCATCTTATTCTATCCTATTCTATTCTATCCCATCTTATTCTATCCTATTCTATTCTATCCTATCTTTTCCAACCTCCCCCCTCAACCCCCCTTCCAACAAAAAAAAAAAAAAAAAAGAAACCGAAAAGGGGAGTGGAGACAGAGACCTCTTCCACATTGAATTTCAAAGAAGTTGTGTTTCCGCATAGCGAATTAAATATATCCATCTCTTTCCTTCTTTTCTCTATCCATCCATCTAAGTTATCTCTTCATCTAAACCTGTAATATAGTAATTCTTCAAAGGTGCACACTTGGGATTTGGGATTCTTTTGAATTCAATACTATGTCATGTCATACTATATACATACGCACTCGCTTGCCGTCATTCCACAATCAATACATTACATTACATACGACCGTCATATCAATCCAGGACAATATACTCCCTCACTCCTCTCCACATCTTTATCCCCTTCCCCTTCCCCTTCCCGTCCTTTCGCACCCCTCCCCTCCCTCCAAACTCATCACCAAGTAACAATAATATCCCTCGTGACACTGTCCCTCCCCACCCCCACCCTCTGCGAACAAAACATCTGCGCCCTCCTCTTCTCAACCACCACATTCAACCCCGCAATCTTCGCTCTTCTATCCGCCGGAATATGTCCCTTTTCATCTCTCCACGGTTCCTCGAGATCTCGAATCCATTTACATATAAATCCACCTACGTAACTATCCCACACTCCCTCTCTATACTCTTTACTCACAAACGACATTGCGATTGCCTGATCTCTTAGTATCTTAGCGCGACAGTGCGTACCGACTTCGAAGAGGGGCATTAGGATACCCAGATTGGTGTGGTAGGATGAGGTGCTGTAGTAAGGATGGAGGTATGTACAATAAGTAATGATGGTTTGGAAATAATGCGTAAGCTGATCGTATTGGATTTCATCGATGAAAAAGGAGCCGTGGAGACGAATAGCACTCGCAGCCGCGTGAGTTTTGAGCAGAGCCGCCGTCCGAAATTCTTGCGAGTGGTGGGGAGACGCGAGACATTTTTGAAGAATCAATTCAGAGGCTTTTTCCCAGTGCGTCAGATCAGCCAGATAGATATCCCGTTCTCGTAGAATTTCAGGTGGGAATCGCGCCGCTGCTACATAGTCCATACAGGGATCCGCAAAGCTACCTTCGATGCTGGAATTGGGTGAATTCGGAGATTCTTGAGATGTCGCTGTAGATTCTTCTTCTCCATAGATTTTACCGCATGGATGAGTATCGCGTGATAGGGCAGGTGGAGAATGAGAGGCGCGTGGCTCTAGCTGAGTCCATGGATTATTATTTTGACGTAAATCTGCAGCTCCTTCCCAGTCTTTGGGTGAGAAGGTTGTGGATTGCTCTTGAAAGTCAGTCTCTAAAAGTAACTTCCTCGCAATATCGATGAAATGAAGATTCCTTCTCATGATCATTTGTAAATATTCGTAAGAATCCTTGATGTTTTGAAAAGTTGGGACTTGGGCACCGTGAAGATGGTATCGATTGAGTTGTTCCTTGATGATAACGTGGTGAGCTGGTGGGCGAATGTCAAGAAAGTGTAAAACTTGCAAGTCTAAATCCGTGAAAGCTCTTCGAAGTTCAGGTCCTATGACGTTCTCTTTTGTGAATTCGGTGCCGGCTGCTGATGATTGATAGTAATCGTAAAGCATCATGATACCATTGGTTGCGTGTATAGAAGCGGATGCTTGGTGTCCTTGTAGACTTTCGATACAAAAAACTATCATACACGCAATCAAAGCTGTTCTTGGACTCCGGCTCACGTTTCCATCGATTGCTTTCTGCATACCTCGTAGACTTTTCCCATACTCTCGCAAAGCGTATTCCAAGTGCTTTTTGGTATCTGGTGATTCACCTCCCTGCACCATCTCTTTGCTATACTTGCTGAATGCCCCAAGTGCCACCAAGCCATGTGCAATATATGGCTCGACTTCGCACACCTGAGGAATGATCTCGGACCAAACACTCGTTTGAAGGGGGCCGGCTAACCCTGCGGCAACATTCTCACAAAAGTGTTTAAAATACCTACCCTCAAGTTCTTCCGTAAATCGAGGACCAAGGTATAATTCCACGATGGATCCTTGTGCACGATCAGAAATCGTCCCCTTGGGTAGAATGGGCACAATTTGACGAGGATTTGGTTTGATCTTCTCCGGCTGTTTCGGATACCCACTACATAGAATTCCGAATTTAAAACAGCGAGAGCAGCCGGGTAATTTTTCGTCGCACTTGATTCTTCGGATTCTGTATATTTGTTAGTTATGATATGGTAGGGTATGGTATGATATGATATGATATGATACACATGGTGATAAGAAGGCTAGCACTTACTTGCAATTTTGACATCCTGTCTTAACCTTGGGTAGTCTGGCACGAAATTTGATTTCCTTTTTCTGACGTGTTGAATTCTTCGATTTATCTACCGCGATCATTCGACGAATGGGTAAAAGTTCACTACTTCGAATAGTCGCATTGTTCTTATCGTCGCTTCTAGGAAAGCGCACGTCTGGTTGTATATTTTTGT